AAGGGTGAACCCACGAGATCAAGTGAATAATAATAATAACACACCAAAGCCATTTGTTAGAATTATTATTACTATTTATTAATGTTTTTTTCTTTTGTATTAATAATTTATTTTTTTCAAACATTATTTTGTCAAATTTTTGAAATAAATTAATCAATTGAATGATGAAAAAGATTATATCACTAAATATTTATGCTTTTTAATGTTAATTCTTGTGATCAAAATTTTTATATAGGTCTTGATTTATTTCACAATTGTAATAATTAATGACACAGCTTCTATACGAGATTAATAATTAGTTAGTTATTATCATTGTAGTGCCCTTACAGGGTTCATGTGCTTGAATACTATTATTTAATACCTCTGTTAATTCACGTGAAACATTGATTTAGCATCGCACTAGAGAAACCCTGTATCGCGGGTGTCAAAGACACGCATATGCAATCACAAATTACGCCCTTTATTTATCCCGGCCCAGGAATCGAACCCGGGACCTCTGGTGGTGGTGGTGGCAGGCGTAACCGTTCGGCTATGGAGGTTGTTGAATCGTGGTTTGCTGCCTTCACGATCGGTCGAAAAGTGTCTAAAAAGGCACAATTGGAAGTATACAATTTTTGGACACTTCACTTTTTAGGCGCTTATCTTGGTGGTAAAATATCATGACATTCAATAAAACTTAATTACAAAAATATACCTTTCTTAAAGCAGAATTTCTTATTACCTATGTATCCATTATTTAACAGCAGTAAGTACTATGTAGCGTTTGAAGACTTACTACATCGAATGTACAGTCAGTGTCCTAAGATACCTGACCCCCTAGCCGAGTGTATTCATGGGGCTTAGTTTCTACACTTATGATAGTGAATGTTGAATTTAGCAGAAGACGCACGAGAATTAATGCAGCGGAAATGAGAGCTTTGAGAAGTAGGCTGGACAGATAAATTACGGGACAGTTGTGATAAAAGAGCGTTGCCGCGTGGAAGATGTAGTTTAAGCAGCTGGAGAGCTCCTTATGAAAGAATTCGTCCAGTGTAGTATTGCTACCTTACCTATTTCTGCCGCCAAACAGTAATGTCAGCATTACTGTGTTCCGGCTTTGAAGGGTATAACGGTGCTGGTGAAATTACAGGCGCATGGGACTTGTCAACTTATGTCTCAGGGAGACGGGCAGTGCCCCACAGATCTTTGCAATTTAAAGCTCTGAGTGGCATTGCAACTGTTATGGACAGACGTGTATCTTACCATCAGGTGCACGACTTGTTTGTCCAGTTGCTAGATATTATAAAAAAAGTTACAAAGGTAAAGAAGAAAGAAGAAGGGATTATTAGATGGGTCGGACATGTCGAGAGAATGAATGAAAGAAAAGAAGGTTAACAAAACAGATTTATAAGGTGAGAGTGAACGGGCAACTTAGTAAAGACTCAACAAGGTGAACTTGCCATAACCGAATTGAGGACGTACTTAAAGAAAGTTCGTCACGGGTTGACTGGCCAGCGGCCAACATGGCCAAATAAAAAGAAAGCCGTAAGAAACCTATAATTTGTTACAATCACGGCGGTAATAAAATTACATTTGTAATTTCTATAACCAAAAGAACAGTGGCGAAATAATTGTTGAAATAATTTTTTTGCGTCTTCAAATATCATAATTACGAATTTGAATAAATTAAATTCAGTTTGGTTTTTTTAATTATACTAAAGGCCTGTGGAAATTTAGAAATAAAAACATATTTAAATGAGACTCACATGCCTAATTGAACATAGTTATACAAACAAGAGCCAACCCACACCTCGAGTGAAATTGTATGTATTTACGTAGAACACCAGACATGTCCTTTACCCGCTCACAAAAGATCCTGGCAATGTACCAAGCCAAAATGGAGAAAATAAAAGTCCTTCAGGGTACCAACACTAAATAAGTAACTTTTTAATAGCTAAAAATAACCATGCTTCTTAACCTCATAATGTATTTTTTTAAATATGCTAACTAGATCTATGTCACATGTACTGAAGTATTGTAGATCTTTAGCGTTTTCATCACGAAAAGTAGAACATGGTTCTCGTTAACGAAATAAAAAGATACATAATGTTTTCTATTTATTGCTGTATATAATAGTTTCATTCATTAGAATCATTCTCAATGCTACATATAACTCACATTGTTTGTCTCAAATAACTTACCTATTTATTTCTTCACACTGTTATTACAAAAATCTAATTATCTCGAAAGTGTCATTTTGTGGGTTGGTTCTAGTTTGCATAACTATGTCCAATTAATATGTAACCTAGACCGATAGATCTACTGTCAGTTTTTAATTCAATACTTATGTACCTATAGATAGCTTCGTACACATTAAGTTAATTCACGTAATATCAAATGTACTAATTCCACCGATTTCCAATAAGACTAATCTCAAATAGAAAGAAAGAAAGAAAAATAGTTTATTTGGTAACCATAATACAAATAGAACGTAAAAACAAAAATTAAAATAACCTTATTATAACATTTACTTAAAATAAAACAGTATTACATTTAAAATGGTACCAAAAAGGTATAAGGTAATACTAACTACTTTCTTCTTGGCTTGGCTTCTATTAACTCTGATTAAGGTTTCTGTAGTTTATTTTGCTATGACACAGAATATATATATTTTATTCAATTATGTAAAAAAATAATCTCCAAAACTACAAACGGTAAGTATATCTTTAATTCTAAACGTCTCAGTATTCTGAGATTACTATTGTAAGCCTCTTATTGTAAACTCTATGCTTTTTTACATGTTATTCATACACAGACGCAAACAAATTAGGTCAACAAAATTTATATGGTAGTTCGCCATTGTTCCTTTACTTTATAAGTGGGAGCAAGTCGAAGATTTCTAGGTACTAAAATCTTTCGAAAAATACACGAACACGATTATGACAATTTACAGACCGGTATTTACAATAGTAAGTTTCAATTTCTTAAATCAAAATTTCAGTTTCTAAGTTATCTCATTCATTCATGAAATACTTACTCCCCCCATTCAGGAAGAGGGTGTTGCCACCCCTGGGGTACCACCCTCGTATAAGTAGATGAGCTTCAATGAACGGGTGTTTCATACTATAGGTAGGTAAGTATAGTAGATGCACAACATAATATGACTTTTAGTTCCCCTTGTTATGTTGTATTTTTAGCAATCGACCATCGACCAAAATTTTACAGCGCCCCTAGCGGTCACGTAACTGACGCAGAGGTCTCGGGTTCGATTACTGAGCCGGAATAAATTTCTTGTGAGTTTGGGTGTACTTTATGGTTGTCTATGTTCTATGTCCATGGCACTCGTGATGCAGGGTTTCCCAAGAGGGTAGAGATAAGTGTGCGTTGTTATCATTACAAGAGCAATATTCTGCTTCAGTATAGATAGGGTTACCGTTTCGAAATTTGAATAGTCCAGAGAAAAAAACCTGCCATTTGTAAGGCCGGACGTTTTACCAAAATAAAGTCGAAAATCTCTCTCACGCGGCAGTAACTGATGGACATACGCCCGAGCAACAAAATTTTTGCCGTAAATAAGCAATCCATTCTTTATTTCCCCGACAAATTTGTAACTGAAACTATTTTTCCGGATTTAAATCGCGTATATTTGTTTTTTCAAACAAACCATTTTAAAACCAAAAACCAAACCAATTTTGTAACAATTTAAATGACGTAATACTCGTAGTAGTGTGTACAGGAAAATTTCTATAGGCTGGAGCCTAAACTAGATTAATATAATTGAAACGTTTAATATAAGTAAATCGAGTTTTACTACAGAATTGCAACGTATCCATCTAATATTACTTTTTTTTTAAATTGTTACTCCAAACCGAAAATTACGTGTCCGGAGGAATCCGGACGGACAGTAACCAGACATGCTCAAAGAGCCATAAGAATAATTTAAAAATTCATATCAGCCAAGCATATCTACCAACAAATATCCAGAAATACGACGACCTTGAAGACCATGAATTCGTACAACCTTGCCCTAGTCATCTATCTAGGCCAACACAGGTCATTGACACCGAGTTCGTTGACTTCGACTGAATTTTGGGAAAATATTTTCAGACGATACAAACATGTTCTTCATTTTTTTTAATTCTTTGGAGTTTACTTTGATGAATTGTTCTGTTTTTAAATACTTTTTTCTTTAAAATTGTAACAAATATTTTTATTGAGTATTTTTGTTATTTTTTTTTTAATTTTGGGAAGCGACGCGCATTATATAGCTGTTGCAGTGCCACTCAGAGCTTTAAGTCGTAAAGATTGTCACTGCTGCTGCGCCCGTCACTCTCAGACGTAAATTAACAAGTCTCATTTGCCTGTCAAAGTCAAATAATCATTTATTCCATAGGTAAAATTTTTACACTTGGAAACGTCATTATTTAAGCTAATGCTCGTTCACTACGCTGACCTCCCTGAGAAGACCGAGCAAGAAACTCTAGGGATAGCTCTTTTCAAATAAACTTCAATGCTATGGAATACATTTTGAATAATAATTGTGTGGAATCTAGACTCACGTTGTCTTTCCATACATCTTTATCTAACACGTAGTCTACAATTTTGTAATATGACTTTTCAATTAAAATACTTTTAACTTAGGAAATCGTAATCTTAATATATGCTCCGGAATCTTATTGTAGAAACGCATACAGTTCCCCATAAAAGAATCGTTTACCTTAGTGATCGAAATCGTGGTACCGTGAGTTTGGACTTAGTTCTGTAAGTTCACCAGCACAGTGTGTGTGTCCGTACTTCCGTGGATGAACTCTTTTACAAAGAGCTCTTACAGCTATTGTATTTGTTGTGTTACGGTGCAAACTGCCTACACTTAACATTAGTGGTCTTATGTGTCAAACTTGACGTTCTTTTAACTGCGCCTTCAACGAGTTGTTTGTTTTTTTGCATAGGCATAAATTTAATTTCTTAAAAATTTTAAACATCTGTTGTGGATAATAACCTTAACTCTTGTATTGTTCCAGTCGTGGCATGGACAAGGAGAATGGGGAGGCCGGCGACGCGGCCGGCAAGCCTCCGCCAGACGGGCTCCTCGATGCCGCCAGGCTCTTCGGAGGTATTGCCATAATTTTCAAATTAGTTTATTTCTTTGTAATACACAAATTCATTTATTCATTCGTTATTACAGGTGCATGGTATAGATGATAATAATAATTTTGTAGAATCTCTGCAATAAGCCAAAATGTACGCCATTTTTTTCATTCACGAAGTCAATTTAATTAAAAATGCAATGCAAAATAAAAACAAAAGAAAAATTTTAATAGTAGGTTCAATGTCATAAAAAAAGTCTAATAATTAACCGACTTCAAAAAAGGAGGAGGTTCTCAATATTTTTTTTAATAATTAGAAATTAAAAAATTGAATATTATTATTAAGAATGAAAAAAAAAACAATTGAATGATGTGGAAAAAACTTTAGATAGCATTACTGATTTTCAGTCTTCACCTGTAGCTAGCTAGTTGTTCGCTTGCTGCATCATACTAATATGCGGAGTGTACACCTACCTTAAGTATTAACTAGTAATAAGTTTAAATTTAATGCCTAATTTTTGTATGTATGTTCCTTTTTTTTGGCATTTGTGAACGGATTTTGATGATTCTTTTTTTGTTGGAATGAAGGTACCTCAGAATTGTTCCCATTTAAATTTGATGAAAGTATTCCACCTCTAAGGGTGGCAAAATAGGGGTTGAATCCGGTTTCGCTCACTTTTATTTACTTGGCAAATACATGTAACTCCATTAACTTTTGAGGTAGATTTTTTTTATTACCCTATACTGAGATTATATGTATTAATAACTAATTAAATAAATTGCTCTTTGCAAAATATACATTTGAATACATTTATCATTACAATATTTAATTTAAACATCTTGGATCGAGAATACGTGGAAGAGCTAAACGGGTCACTACCACGGATTTTTGTTTTATCCAAGTACGCAGAAGTTGTATAACTTTAGTATAAAGTTTTTGTTTCATAATACTTTTAAACCTCGTAAATGGTAAATTTTGAATATCAATCGGAATCCTATTATAGAAGCGTATACATTGCATTTATCTATTTTTAACCGATTTAAAAAAAAAGGCGGAGGTTATGCGTTCGGCTGTATGTTTTATGTATGTGTTCAGATATCTCCGTCAATTGTGGATCGATTTTGTAAATTCTTTTTTGTTTGAAAGGCTACACTCTCGTGGTCGTCCCGTTGTCGCCAAGTCAGAATCTGATGAGGGATCCCATGAAACTCGAAGGAAATCCTCAAATTTTACAGGCATGTCCGTGTATTCTGATGGCTAAAAAGTCGTTTGAAAAACCAAATACAGAGGTACTTGGTTTTTCGACGAACGACTCTTTTCTCTTTTATTATTTCTCTATGTGCTTGTTATCGGATCTCTATTCAACAACAAGCACATAGATAAATTCGTGAGGTCCGCTGGTTCGTTCTTAGTTGGTATAGCGTCTGACACGGTTTGCTAGAAGACGTCGGTTCGAATCCGGCCGGATCGCAGGAATTTTTTCTAAGTGTTCGATCTTTGTATTAATAATTATTGCTCTACTAAACTCAAATAGGCAATAAAGTACCATCTATAAGTAACACCTCGTGGTATCGTGACCAATGTAACGAGACCAGACGCGATAGTTCTACTCTAAGTAGTTGAGGAGTTGGCTAAGCTGCAGACAGTCCTGGTTGCAGCATCTGGGATACTAAACTATTGTCATCTCATCGAATTTCTATAGTATAACAAATTTCAAGTCGATTCGACAAGGAACAGTAATAGTACATTCTCTCATTCATTACTCTTCCAGCACATGCTGGAAGAGTATTTTTTTAATAATATCAAGTGACAGGACAAACAAGTCGTACGCTTGATGGTAAGGTACACGTCCATGACAGTTGCAGTGCCACGCAGTGCTTTAAATCGCAAAGATCTGAGGGGCACTGCCACTGCGCCCGTCCACCCGAAGTTGACAAGTCCCATGTGCCTGTAATTTCACCAGCACTTTTACCCTTCAAACCCGGAACACAGTAATGCTGACATTACTGCTTGGCGGCAGAAATAGGTAAGATAGCAGTACTTCCCTGGACGAACTCTTTCACAGGGAGCTCTACTGCTACTAAATAATAAAATAAGAGTTACAATATTTTTAATATATTTGTAATAATACGAGTCAAGCAATCCCTGTTCCCGCCGACGCTTATATAGTGATTTTCTCAAACAATGTGATGAAATAATACAAAAACTAAAGAGAAGGCGTATAATACAAAGAGTAAAAAAAATGTTAATTAAAAGTAATATTCGACAGTACTCGCAGGTATTTTCGTTATCGCTCTTCTCACTAGAACTTATTTAAAAAACCTAAAAAAAAGGCCAAAAAAAACAGAAGAGAATACCAAACACTTTGGTTTAATTTACCGTGTTTTTGTTAAAAAAAATATTATTAAATTACTATGCAACTAACACTTGGCAGTAGGCTGTACGAGTTTTTCTTTTGCCTGTTTACATAGTTCATGTGGTTCATTAACTAATCATTAGTATGCAGATTTAAAAGTTTAGCGTAGTCTTTCATACTTACCTTGGCCGGGAAGGAGTCACACGGTCCATAAAGGACAAACTGTCCGTGGTCGTTTTTTGAAAGTAACGCAAACATTTCCGAGCGTGTTTGAGAAAAAATAAATTCATTTTATGTCTTTGACCTTTACGCTAACTAAGAAAAAAGCTGATTTATTTATATACAGTTTATTTATTTAAAAGAAAAACCAAAAGCTTGTAGGGACACATGTCCTTACGTTACGTTTTCAACCCTCCAGCAATGTTCCTCGCCATAAGTAGTTCCGAGTAAATCTGTGTAAATCTTCTAATTGTTTTGTACCGTATACTATTTGGCAGTGAACAATAAAAGTGTGACAACTAAATTATAACGGAGTTTTGACTTTATCTGGAATCCCCATAGTGAGCACGTTTAATCCGGGTGGTTAACAGGACCACCCACATAAGTTTCTAAAAGATTAAAAGTAACTTAAATAATAATAGTAACAAGTGAGATCCAATTACATGTCCTCACAAATAGAAATATAACAAGGAACCTGAGTGCACAATTTAACTAAGTTATTACACAAAACATAATATAAAAATAATAAAAATAAAGCACACACTCAACATAGTCCCGTATTTCTGAAACCCTGTGTCGCGGGTGCCATGGACACACACATAGACAACCACAACTTACACCCAAACTCACGAGAGAAAGAGAGAAATAGATGTGGACCATTTGGTAGGTTAATGAGACCATGCAAAAATATTTCTCCCAGCCCGGGAATCGATCCCGGAACCTCTGCGTGGCAGTGCAGCATGGTAACTGTTCAGCCATGGAGGCAGTTCAAAATAACTTATTACGTAAAACATAAAAATACAACCATAGTTGCAAACGTCACTGTAAAACAAAGAAATGTCCACTCAGTACTCTCCTTATATATTTAGCTTATTTATTTATTTATTCATTAATTGCTTGCCGAAATCACACTCGTATTGAAAAGATCCAGATCCAAAGAATTACATTGAATAATAAAATTATTGCTTGCATAATTAAAATGTGGCATCATTGAGGTAATTAAACAATAATGTCATAAATTCTACACTACTCGTATTATAACGATTCTAAATAATAAATTCTGCGTTTTTTTTTTCATGGTATACAAATTGGTAAACAAGCAAACGGTCTACGCAATGGAAGATTGTAACCTCCGCCTAGTGATTAATAAAGCCCAGGATAAAATAGTTCCTTTTAACCTTTTTCAAATTAGGAGGTTCTCAACTGGCCTTTTTTTGTATGTATGTTGTGCAATTACCCCGACATGTGTAAACCGATTTCGACTATTCTTTTTTGTTAGAATGGGCGTACCTCTGAAGTCATCTCATTCAAATTGTTGAAAATATTCCACCTCTAAGGGTGCGTACAGATCTGGCAAATGCGCCGCAAACGCGCCTGTTTGCAAAACGCACGCGAGCTGCACACGTGCATTACGTAGTGCGATCAGTTCGCGTGCCGATCGCACGATGCTCTCGTGCCACATATATTAACATGTATTTAACTGCACGCGCGCAGTTAGCGTGCAGTACGTGCACAGCGCGCATGCAGCGTGTTCGCAGCGCATTCGCCAGATCTGTACGCACCCGAAGGGAGAAAGAATCCGGTTTATTGAAATAAGTGGGCACTTTACGTTAACCAATTTCAAATAACTTGACAAACTTTTGAGGACAGTTTTTTTACTTACAATTTAAAATTTTTCTTCTAAACACACCTACTGTAGAAAAGTAATTGCTAATTACACATAAAAATAAATCATATGTCCGATTTAGAGGTGTTATCCTGTTTAGTTTGAAATTTACTTAATTCTAAAACTAAAAAAAAAAACTAAAATTATGATGCTGAATGGGCACCGCTCAGCATGTGCCGTGGCTGAGAACAGCCACGTCGCTGGTATTATGCGGAGCCCAGGGAGTGCGTCACAAGCGCACTAAACTATTACTACAAAAACATTGACTTATTTAAATTCGCAATATGCGTACAAAGAATTTATGATGCGACAAAATGTGTGATGCTTAACTATATCTATACCTATTGTTAATTTATTTATAATTTATTTATAATTAATTGATAATATTATGTTATGTATGCAAACACCATTCAACTATCAAACAAACTTAATTATATATAAAAAGAAAAGAAAAAACTACTTATTTCCTAACTATAAAGTTGGAACTGATTGCAAAAAGTATAACCGAATTAGGCCACATATACATACAAAATCCACTTATACACAAACGATACATCTAATATTTCTTATGTGTTTTTTGTTATTTCTGTTAAATAAAATCTATAGTTTTTTTTAAAAGAATAAACATTATTAGACTTCCTGATTGGAGGAGGTATATTGTTCTAGCATTTCGTGGCAGCATAACGGAAACTGCCACGAAATGCAGAAGTGTTGTGTCTAGGGCAAACTAAACGAGAAGCCGTTCTTATGTGGCGTTGTGAAATTCCTATTCAGATCCCTGCTAACTATGCACTCGTGTCTCAATTCCAGCATACTGGGGCCGCGATGGCAGCAACTCCGCGTCCGCAGCGCAGGCGCAAGCCGCGGCCCAGGCGCAGGCGGCGCTGTTCGGCTTCGGCTCGCGCTACCCGCCCCCCACCACCCTCGGCGTTGCCGCCAACCAGGCTGCTTCGCTTGGATTGCACCCTGCTGCCAGTAAGTTCTGCTTGTATTGAAAATAACAATAATAATACCTAATAAAGCATTATTTTCATAATCTAGTACTAGTAGGCTTAATAATAAAATAAAAATGAACATTAAGTACTGTCTATCACACTCAGGATTCCGGTGGTGCTACCACGTTTAATTCCAAAACGTTGCTATGTACTTAATGAGAGCAGATGTAAAGTACATTTTTCTCAATATTTCTAAAAACTAATGGAGACTGAAACCCATCTGATTTCGAGACTACCCGACCGATGGGTTTTTGAGCGAGAAGATGAACCTGATTCCTGCTATATCTTTCTAATTTGTGAGTTAAATTAACTATTGTTCCGATTAGAAATGTCAAAAGTTTTCGTTCTGCCAGTTGTGAATCGCAGTTATGCACCTCGACTCGGAAAAGACGCAGTTTCCGATCGAGAGAGGCAATCAAAGTCAAGCTGCAGATCGTAGCTCTGAAAAATATCTATCTATCTATGTATAGCGCTGTTCAATAGCCTGGAAGTAGTTTATAATTATTTTTATTCAAATATTGATCATGAGCGAAAATTATTTTCTAAACTTTAAATTAATATGCATTTCAATAGATGGCGTTGTGTGTTACATAGCTAATTTATAAATTTAAATTAACGCTTCTTTATATGGGCAGATGGCGTTAATCCTAAACAAAAAAAAATAGCCTGCACTATCCATAAAAATATGTGCAATGAGCGCCATCTAGTTGATTTATTTGTTAGCACTAGAAATTAGAGTAGCTTTGATAAATTGCAGCTCGTCAATGTAAAACTGGCTACAAAAATAGCATTTTTGGTACTCGTAGTGACATATGGTGTACTAATAGGTACTAATTACCCCACTATGCTGTCTTGTATTGCGATTAGCAGGGGTCCTACCACAACCTCTTAAAACAATATTACTTTAACCTTACATTGACTTTTCGTGCCATGACGCGCTTAAAGTAAGCTTATTGTAATGTTAAAACATCGAGTATATAACCAGAAATAGAGACGAAATGTCATTTAATTTGTTTGAAAACTATTCTGCCATATCATTACTGTGACAACTGCGCTCCGATTGGCTAGCCCGAGTTCGAAACAATTGACGGGTGTCGTCAATTGTTTAACTTCAAATCGACCAGTTCACTTGAGGTTCGCTATAATTGACGAAAATTGCAAAATTACATATTTAATATTTAATTACCGATGAAATTTGATTCCGTTTGTTTTGTAATTAGATGGTTTGCTGTTTTTTCCCACACCACCAAATGAAACAGCACGCCATTGTTAGAGATATTATCTTTATTACAATAAATACAGGATATTTTTGGAGTATACGGCGTTTCTATATTTCAGTGCAAACGAGAGTTGATGTTTATAAGTGATGTATCACTGATGAGTTACCAGGAATATATGACCCTCATTTCGTCTCTATTTCTGGTTATGTACTCGATGTGTTAAAACTATGATGTTTCGTTGGCAGCTTCGTGACTATTCATGCACTCAGTTCGTACTATGACGCCACTTTAACATTAAAGTAATATTGAAATAATTACACGGATGCAATGGAAACAATGTTATTTTCGAATTTATTGTCTAAATACGTTATATATATTTTGTTTTTTATTTAATAGTACATAGGAAATAATTTGTCATTAAATAAAAATATGAACGATGTTTATTTCGTAAAATTATGAAAATTATATGATCCTTGGCGACACTAACTTGGTGACAATCAAGACTTCGCTTGTTTTATTTATTTTTCTTCATGAAAATGCGGAAAAATAATTGGAAATAACGTAATTTTAAGAGATTATTATTACATACTTTTCTTTTTTTGGAAGTCAAAATTCTCTTAAATGTAAATAATATTAAATATTTTTACACTGTACTACGATAGCGCGATTCGATTTGAGGAACATCAAAAAAGAAAGAGATGGCATTATACAGTTCATATAGCGTTACTTCTTTCCTAGTTTTAGTAAGGAATAGACAATATTGGGAAATCATTCGTTCTTTCACTCACTTTAGCAATAATACATTACTTGGTTGATAGGTTTATTATAAACTTACATTGAAATAAGATTGTTTTTTGAAAGTTTTATGGTAAGCCCCCTGGCCCTTGGGTTATTTATTGGTCCTTGGTTATGATAAGGGGGTAGCTTTCAGGTAGATAAACAACCGTTCTTGCCCAGGGTTACCATCACTATCTTCACTCTATTTACGTTACAGTTTCCAAAGTTATTTACGAACCCTTAGTGAGACACCCGTTCGTGAAACGTGCGATTACATCGCCACACTTGTGATTTATAGGATTGCATCGATGCAAAGGCGCGATTGCTTCGACACAAACGCGCGATTGCATCGATGCAGTCGCCTACAAATCCCGATGTAATCATGCGTTTGTATCGATGCAGTCGCGCGCTTGCATCGCGTTTGCATCGCTGCTTAAAATCGCGCGCTCGTGTAAAGGTGTAGACGATTAGCGACTGCATCGCGTTTGCATCGCTGCTGGTAGTCGCCGTGTGTAACCGCTCTTAGGCGTCGTCCTAATTGAACGCGATTACGCGATCGTCGCAAATTCGCGCGAGTTTTGTTCGTGCGAACCTGCGATCAAACATACAGATCTCGAATGGGTGCCCTAATGCCGTACGCGCGATGAATATGTTTGAAATCTATTCACGCGAACGCACGATCAAACATTGATGTCGGAATAGGTGTCACGATTGACAATCGCGTCGCGTTATCAATTCAGCCGCACCCATGATCGCGCGGATACGTGCTCGCGCAATTATCTATTAGAACACACGCTTTTTGTCATCGCGCGGTTGCACGATGATGGCATCGGCAGTCCGATCGCGTATTCGCGTTCAATTAGTACAACACCTTACCATCGGACTACCTTTAAAATGATTCACTGTTTTAATATGAATTGTATCGTCTTTTTAGGTGCGGCCTGGTGGTCCATGGCCTCCCACCTAGCTGCTCAAGACTACCTCGCGAGGCTGCAAGCCTCGGGCCTCAATTTTCCACCAATGGGGGACCCTTATTCCGCTCTCTCAGCGTTATCCGGAGCCGCAATGAATGTGCCGCCTAAAAATAAACAACCGCAGAAGAGTGAGAGGTGAATAATTAATTAATTAATTTATATTCATTAAAATTCGTATAAAATATGAGAGACAATACTCCGCTCACACTAATAGATAAATCTATCATTTATTTTCACAACGATCATAACATATTGGGTGTAAACACCCTTAAAATAGTTTGCAGGTTAATTAATATAATACCACACGTTAAAGCAATACTGGGACAAAACGAACAAGAAAACTTTAGTGAAACGGTCATTAAAGTTACTGAAAACAGTTAATAATAAGTATTGAATATTGTGTGTAGAATAAGTTGGGATAACAAGTAAATTAAATTATCTAGCCCTATAATGATTGGGCCACGTTTTGGACCCAAAGAGTCTAGAATAAATGGTTCAAATGTATATTATGTCCAGATCCGCAAGAACCAACACCCCGTCGAGTACAGCTTCCAAGGAGAAAAATCCGTCTACCAGCACCAACTCAAGCCCCAGCATGAGTGAGTTCCTACTTGTTAGATTAATTAATGAAAGTAAGCGCTCAAACTGCATTGCTATTGCAAAATGGCAGGCTGCAGGTCGATTGCCAACTTCATACATACTCATATAGCAGCAGTAGAGGTCCTTGTGAAAGAGTTCGTCCAGGGAAGTACTGCCACCTTCCCTCTTTCTGCCGCTAAGCAGTACTGTGAGCATTACTGTGTTCCGGTTTGGAAGGTAAGAGTGCTTGTGAAATTACGGGCACATGGGACTTGTCAACTTATGTCACAAGGTGACGAGCGCAGTACCACACCCTAAGATCTTTGCGATTTAAAGCTCTGAGTGGCACTGCAACTGTTATGGACGCTCCGTCACTTGGTAGGTATCATAAAAGTATATATAGTGCTTATTTCTCTATGTGATACAGGAAAGTCTTCAAGTTAATACATGCTCCAACATAAACCCTGTAAACTTGCTTCTCTTAGTGCAATCTATTTTCATCATCGAAAAATTGCAAACAGTTCGATATTAAAAAAAGTTTCGTCGTAGTTGCAAACATAAAGTTCTTTTCCATTAAAAAGCTGTGGTAGCCTAATGGTTTGACCTATCCGCCTTTCAAGGGTAGTGGATTCGAATCTGATCTTGCACCTCTGAGTTTTTCGGGACTTATCATGTACTTTTCGGTGAAGGTAAAACATGATAGATAGATAGATAGATAAACACTTTATTCAGTAGTATGACACAAATACAGATTGAATATATCAGGAAAAACAAAACATTTTTGTCATGGCAGTGACATGGCGCTGACTCAGCACATGTATGTATATTCAAATCCGCACATGCACTTACATATTGAATAGGTTACTTTAGATGCAATTTTCACATTTTATTACACTTATTATTTTAAAGAACAATTTGTACTGTAATGAACGGTTTTGAATATTTTTATTACACATAACTAAGTATTTTTATTTAATAAACCAGATGCTATATAGATGACGCACACAATTTTTTTCTCCATTATGAAAAGTTGTCAAAATTGAGATAGTTCACAGTCGATATGTCTAAGTTCCCTAAGGCGCTGGTTTTCAGTCAGAACCAACGAGAGGTACTAAATCTAGAAGTTTTTTGTAATGAAAGATGTAATAAACGACTAGGAGGGAAATTGTTCATTAAAATAATAAATGTAATAACGTGAATAGTGCATCTAAAGTAACCTATTCAACATGTAAGTGCATGTGCGGATTTGAATATACATATATGTGTGTACATCATGTAGTGAAACCCGCACACAATCTGCAAAACAATGTGTGTAAGTTCGCAATCGAAACAGAATATCCATTACCATCATATTCTAATACTAAATTTTACGGTAAACGCTGTTCCCATTATATAGTAACGCTTTATTTATCTTTGGACGACTGTCGCGTCTAGCCTGTTCCCATATCACGACTATCTGTCGTGACTGTGTCGTGGACGTTTATTTTATCGTTGAACGACTGTCGTGTCTAGCTGTTTCTACTAGATCGTGACGACAATTTATCGGCTCACGACAGCATGTCGTTTGCACGACAGAATCGTTTAAAGCTGTGATTTTCTGTCGTCACATTTGTGTCTGACGACTGGCGTTCTAGCTCTTCCTATTGTCTCGACAGTCTGTCGTCGTAATGTCAAAAAAGTCGTGAACGACAGTTAATTGTGTTGTACTATAATATGTGAACAACTTCACTTAAATTTAGAAGCCACAACACTTTAAATTGCACGACTATCTGAAGGACTGTCCATGAAAGGGTTAAACAAATTTAGAACAGAAAAGATTGCTTATACTGTTTTTGATATTACACTTATGCTAACAATTTATCCCAATTTCCAGGATCATCATACGGTTTCCCGAAGACATCATCGCCGTCCACAATGCACTCTCACTCCCAATCGCTGTCCAGTCTGGCGTCCCTTAGCAGCCTCGTTTCTAGCCCGCATCAAACCAAGAGCAGCAAACAGCAGCAACAACCCTCTTCAAGTAAGAGTAGCGTAGCGCCATCTGTGACAACTTATATATTAGTTTCATCAATCACTCCGCAAAAAGCTACTCCGTAATCATAATTGGACTGTATCAATGGGATTCGGGTGCTATCATAGGAAATGCACTTACTATTTATTTAACAAACAACGCTCAGAAGTCAACCAAAACAGAAACAATAATAGGAAAAGGCGCCAAAAATAAATTCAGAATTTCAATATGAAACTAAACTGTAAAAAAAGGCTAATATAGTTATTTTTGATACAAGTGCGGAAAGTTAGTCATTATTCAAGACTCGAGACAAGTCAAAATGACAAATTCGCACGTGTGCCAAACGACGTTTATTAATACATTTGCGAAAAAATTACATTGAAAGAAAAATATAACAGTATTTAAAAAAAGTAAATGAAAAAGGCGGGAATGTAAATGAATAAAGTTAGTACTTTTTTGGCCGACTTTTCAATATGGCAACTGTTGCCAGTATTCAGCCACATTAAATTACTATTTAAGTGGCGTCGCGCGCAGCGGTATCGTGTAATATTCACCTCCGGTCATTGTTAATACTCAATCAGCCATCTTTATGGAAAATATTTTGGTATTTTTAAATGTAACCCGTTGTTTTATAAAACACCTATGCAATTTAAACAAATAAGATGTTTATAAGTAAATATAAGTTTTAATAACCAATGACTTACGTCACTAAGCATATAAATATTAAATAAATATACAACCTATTTAGTTCTGTGTTTAAGACTTAAAACAACGATAAATAAAAAATAATGGAAAAGTAAAAAGCACTAGTGCGAAAAACCCAATTTTCGGCACGATTTGTAGTACGAAAAATACCACGTTTTGAGCAACTGTATTAAAACTATATATAAAAAAGATTTGTAGCGACTGCTGCGGTTCGCTACAATAATAAAATAAATAAAAAGACTATTCTTCAACACTACAACCATACATAAAAAAACATTAAAATAATAGCTTACAATAAAGGGCTGTGTTGCAGAAATTGAAGACCAGGTAACAAACAGTCCCAGCAATTTGCTGGTTTTCGAGGTTTTGTGAGATATAATTGACACAATGAAAACGTACAAAGCGAAAATGACTGAGCTCAAGTTTGCGGAACTCCGCGAACAAAACGTAAACGTAAACAAAGCACTTTTGCTTTATTTATTGATCTGTGGGTAGCCACGTTGAGGCAACACCTGGTTCAATTCCAGTCAAACCGACGGAATTTTTCTTTGTGTTTATTTTATTTGTATCAGTAATAACAATAAAGCGAAACATTTTCAGAAAGAATAGATGAATATAATAAGAAGCAAAAACCGTTATAATATTCAATAAAAATAAAAACATTGACATTTGTTATAAGAAATTCAAACAAAACTTGTATATTTTTTTATTTAACTGCCTTCGTGACCGAACGGTTACTATAACTGGTCTGCCACGCAGAGGTCCCGGGTTCAATTCCCGGGCCGTGAAAAATATTTGTATGGCCTATATTTATTTCTCTCGTGAGTTTGGGTATAATTTATGGGTGTCCATGGCACACACAGGGTTTCCCGGGTTATTAATATATTTGAAAGGAAACTTTTCATACAAACCTGGATTATGTCATTTTCCAGGGAAATCTTCATCGTCTTCGTCCGCAAAGGCTGAGCGTGACTTGGCACTCCTGCGAGGTGACCTCATGCTTGCGCAGGCGGCGGCGCAGGGGGCTTACCATGCTGCTGTTACTGCTGCGGCGAAGGGGAAGGTATCTGCAAATTTTTGTATCAAAGATTAATAACGGAAATTACATAATAAAATCAGTGCCACAGCTATGAGTTTACATTGACAATTATCGCTAGCGACCGTATAAAATGTTTGTATACAAAATTCCGTTTCTTCTTGTGACTGCTAGGGTTGCTGTATAATTTGCCATACAAAATTGTGAAGTAATTTAAGTGGTTGCTAACGATAACTGTCACAGTTAACTCGTGGTAGGGGCACAAGCTCCTAAGTCATCTCAGTTATGTGTTGATACATTGTCAATGACATTTATTGCAACGCCGCAACACATATATAAAAAAAATATAACACTGACAAGCGAAACAAATAAAAAAAAAAACAAAAAAAATTTCAAATAATAATACAAAACTGACAAAAAACAAAATATAACGACTACAAATTTTGTAGTGTCATTTGTGCGGCTGTGGCGTACGCAAAAGGACTTCTTTCAGCATAAGCCACAGCCATAATCGACTGTGGCGCTGGTTTTCAATGAGCCTTGAGCCGAGATGAGTGACGGACGTCTAAACTACTTAAACATTTCACCCGTTTGCCAGAACAACGTGTTATTTATATATTGTCGACATCACGTCGATGACGTAATCTACTAATTATTTGACAGAGAAAATACTTTTAATTTGAAGACTAAATTTCTGCAACCATAGTCAGTGATTGAAGGAATGAATCTATTGAGACTCACCTGCCATTGTAACTAGGTTTTAGCAGAAATGGGAGAAATGACCAGTAATTTCAAACACGTTTCAAAACAGGCTAATAAGGTTCAATATCCTTGAAAATTTGCTTTTCCTTTTTTTTTAAGAGGATTTTATCTTTATAGATATGCCACCCTCATAGGGGCGATAATGAGGTATTACAATCCAGGTATTGCTAATTTCACAACATTATGCAACATCCTGGCCTCCTTAGACAACGGGCTGGCCAAGATGCTGTTGACAGTGAACTGGCAACCGGTACTATCTCAATTTCTGACAATTTTACAGGATGAAGAAAATAATTGTTTGCGTCATTTATATAGCACCTGGTTAGAAGTTAGTTCATATTGAATGAAGTCACTTTTGGAGCCAAAATCAAATGTATCTGAGATGGAATTTCTTAGAACGCTGTGGAGTATGAAATAGTATAAAAAAGTGAAATCTTTAGAAATTTGAGATAGTACCGGTTGCCAGTTCACAGTCGATATGCCTACTGTACACAGCGTTAAGTCCGGAATCTGTTGTCTTAACACCTCACTCCTAACACACCCCATTATCACATGATAAACGTCTTTTGTTGTATATCTCACAGTTTGGTGAAGGAACCTTTGACGTCAGATAACCGAACTTGTTTAAAGGAACGTGTCCTGAGCGAAGCCTCAACGTCGTAACTAATTCACACCAGAGTTTTTACATTTAGTCATAAAAATGCTTGCGACTAAATGGTAAAGTCAAAAATGGTTTTTTAAATGTTTTTTAGTAAAAATGGAGTACATAGCGTTACATACATTTATGTCAGCGCTGACTTTATTTCTTTTGATAGCATTTGTAAAAGACACGCTCTTTTTCACCAGAATTTAAAAGTTCTCCAAATGAAAAATTATTTTTTCCTATAATTCTCCTGAAGTGGCTTTAATAATTCTTTCCCAGGACTCTTCAAATATTATTATAATATTCTCAGTGGGCTCTCCATGGAAGAAACTTTAAGAATAATGACCAACAGTTTCAAAAAAATTACAGAATCGTGGTCCACGTTTTTTTAGTTTTCTCTAAATAAATATTTAATGTAGCTGTATTTTGAGGGGGGCCAGAAAACTAGTTCTCATATCGGGGTGTTTTTTCGATGAAATAATCATAGTTTAACGGCCTTAATATTTTTGCTCTACATCCCCGGTCACATTCGGTCACGATCCGATCACGAAAAGACATGCCAGTAGCAAGCAATTGTAAAATATATGTTTCAACCTCGACTCCGAAAGCTAGATTCCTTCTAATAGAGTCTCATTCGTAATTCCTTATTTGCCGCTCTTAATACACAATGTACTATGTCATTCTTTCTACTTATTCTTATATAATTTGTTTCAGAATATGTCCTCTCTTTACCCATTTGGAGTAGGCGGGATGTCGGACAAGGACCGGCACGGGATCGATACGTTAACAGGCCTGCCACATACAATACTAAGGTAAACTTACCTTTACAGTAACCTACTATTTGTGTACAAGAAAATACAAGCCATAAGCAGGCAGGTGTAATGTGACTTAACAGAATGGATACCAGTAGCTGGCATGACCAGTTCAAAAACAATATATTTTGTACCTCCGGTATAACAAAACCACATGTAAAGGGCTTTCATCACATTATTTAGAAGCAGTAGAGCTCATTGTGAAAGAGTTCGTCCAGGGATGTACTGCTACCTTACCTATTTCTACCGCCAAGCAGTAATGTGACCGTTACTTTGTTTCGGTTTTCAAGGGTAAGTGTGCTGGTGAATTCATGATTTGCTTACACGAGTGAGATTCCAACCTTCAAGTTGAAGTTTAAATCATGGAATGTTGTAAAATACTTGTTGATATTGCGTTTTAGATCGACACCCGCAATTAAAACTACGCTAACTCGAATTTTGTCGATTTTGCGTTGTTAATTCCGGATTATTCAGCTTAAGAATATAATGCAAAAAGTAATAATCATATTTAGCAGTACGAAGAAGTTTTAGATTTTTTGTGAAAGAATTCGTCCAGGGAAATACTGCCATCTTACCTATTTTTGCCGCCAAACAGTAATGTTCACATTACTGGGTTCCGGTTTTGAAGGGTACTAAGGGTGCTCGTGAAACTACAGGCTCATGGGACTTTTCAACTTGTGTCTCAGGGTGACGAGCGCAATGTCAGTGCCTCTCAGATCATTGTGATATAAAGCCCCGAGAAATACTGCAACTGTTATGGACAGGCGTGTCGCTTACCACCAGGTGTACGACTCGTTTGTCCCGGCACTTGGTATCATAAAAAATATGTTATATTAAATAACTATTGTTTAGGCATACAATAATGTTATCGACTAATTTGGTTTGTAGAATTTTAAAACTCACTCCTGAAAACTGATCATTTAGCAGATGTGGCTTTATTAAACCAGGATACGATATAAAGTTCGAATGTCCTTTGCGACTAAGTTGTGCGTATGTAAGGGCGCGTTCCCATTATGTCGTGACGACAGATAGTCGTGCAATTGAAAGTGTCGTGGCTTGTATATTTCAATGACGTTGTTCACGTATAGTAAAATACGATTAACTATCGTTCACGACTTTTTTGGCGTTACGACAACAAACTGTCGTCGTAATAAGAAGAGGTAGAACGACAGACGTCAGACGATAAATATAACGTCACGATAAAAATGTGACGACAGATAGTCGTAGCTTCAAACCATTTTATCCTGCAAATGTCCAGGCAGATAAATTGTCGTCACGGTCTAGTGGGAACAGCTACACATGACAGTCGTTCAACTATAAAATAAACGTCCACGACAGATAGTAGTGAAATGGGAACAGGCTAGATGCGCGACAGTCGTCCAACTATAAATAAAACGTTACGACATAATGGGAACGCACCCTAAGTCCAAAAGTTTTAAGATATGAGACTCGAAAACAAATGAACCAAGTCTAATGAGCATATATTTACCGATTTACTTGTATTACTATTTATTGTAATATATACTCTAAGTCAATCATGTACGTCCTTAAAAAAATTTAGGAATTAATATTTTAAAAAATCAATTTAGCAGCTTTGATAAATCGATTTTTGTTTTTTTTGCCCCATATTAGTGCTGCTTTGGAAGGAGGGTGAGTTTCAATTTTTTTAAGTTATTATATACCTAAACGTCAGTTAATATTAAATTAAGTACATTAGTAAATTCAGGCGTTTCTTTCAACGGTGACAAGTATAAATGCGTTAAAAAGATCTCGTAAAAAAATCAAAAGCAATTTTATAGTAAAGGCGAAAATACATACGCCTGCATATTGTGTTTACAAACTCATTAACTCACTCTCAGGCTTGGATATTGACTATTAATTCCTTTAGTTTTCTTTTTATTTCATTTTTTAAGGCCCCGCACTAGAATAGAACGGCAAAGCGAATGCCACGGACACACACATAGACAAGCACAAATTACGTCCAAAGTCACGAGAGAAATAAATGTAGGCCATACAAATATTTCTCCCGGCCCGGGAATCGAACCCGGGACCTCTCCGTGGAAGTTAAACAAACTATTGTAACTTATAGTGTTATTTTTAAAATGCTAACAACCTCACAGGACCATATTACTAACATCATAAATAACCACTTTTGTTCCACGACTTTTAACAATTCATCACCTTTTACTTTCACACGAAAATAAAAATATTTAAATCGATGACTCTGAACAACGGTTACTCTAAGTAATTAATAGATTCAGGCGTTACTTTGCGGAAGTCCAAGTTAATAAAAATGGAAGTAAATTAATTGGCTACTCCGCGAACCCAGTGAAGGTTAAATCGTGCAAAATAGCTGCAGTTAATTTCCCTCCCTCCCATTGACTTACAAATAAATGGACGACGGGTCTAATACAAAAACCACGAAAAAAATGTCCCAAGTCAACCTATTTAAACGTAGTGACATGTAAAGGAATATGAAAAAGCTTTTAAATTGTAATGTCATCGCAGTACTATCTAATTTTGCTTGCTTCGCTGTCAGTCGAACAAACGAAGACTAAAGCGTGAATGACGCTCTGTATACGATTTTAACGCCCTATAAGTTAGGACACTTTTTAGCGCGGACCCGACGTCCATATAATTGTAGTCTGCTCCCTCCGCATAAAATAAATAACACAAGCGCAACTACAGTCTCAAACCACCACCCGCCCCCGTAGCATGGCTACGCATGATAGTCGCGACACGCGCGATAAAATTGAAATAACCGCGCGCTATTGGCTAACTAAATTAGATCTGATTGAGACAGCCAATAGCGTGCGCTTATTTCAATTTTATCGCGCGCGTCGCGACTATTATGTGTAGCCATGCTACGGCGGCAAAAATATACGATTTAACCTTCACTGGGTTCGCGGAGTAGCAAATTAATGTACTTTCATTTTTATTAACGATTACTCTGTAGTCCAATGGCTATAGGTCAATACCTATAAGGTCAATTTTTATTGTTACGTATGCAAAATCAGCTTAATAGACATTTTTTATTAAAAAGATACAGTGCGTTAGTTATGATGACAAGGAGGCCAGTGTTTTTTTATTTCACATTTCGAACTTTCTTTGTGCTTGTTTAATTGTGAATAATTTTTATTTGTTCCAGTGATCCGTCTTCAGTGCTGGGTGGTGTAAGACTTCCGCCGGATACTGAGATCATCAAGTACACCTCTTCCCTGGCTGGGCCCAAGGTACTGTGCATTTAATATTCATACTATTTATGTATATTCAGAAATTACAAGCACATGTGACTTGCCAACTGATGTCTCAGGGTGACGGGCGCAAAGGCGGTGCCCCTCATAGCACAGACGCTAGTTCGAGTCCCGCCAAATGGGAAAAAAATCTTCGTGTTCCGTCTTCGTTTAGTAGCAGTAGAGCTACTTGCGAAAGAGTCGTCGAGGGAAGTACTGCCACTTTACCTATTTCTGCCGCCAAGCAGTAATATGAGCCTTACTGCATTCCGGTTGGGAAGAGTAAGGGATGCTAGTGAAATTACAGGTACATGATGTTCTCAGAGTTAATAGACTATCTGGGAAACCCAAGGGCCAGCAGCTATCTCGTCCAACGCATTATCATAGTCATATAAAGGGGGAACGCTGCCAGCGTCTCGGGCGCCTTGCGGCGGGGACCCAATTTTATTCATATAATTTAATTCTAGTTTTAGTGTCTAGTATTTAAGCTTTTATTGCACCTTACATGTATATTTCAACTTATTGTAATAAAAAAATTGTACCAAAGGATTCTTACAAACAGCAAAATGGTGAAAGTACATAAGTTTCGATTGTTTTTTCAATTTTTTTGTAATACCACGTGACGGGACGAGCAAGTCGCGCACCTGAGGGTAAGCTACTCGCCTGTCCATATCAGTTAGAATGCCACTCAGAGCCTTTGAATCGCAAAGATCTTAGGGGCACTCCCATTGTGCCCGTCACCCTGACACATAAATTGGCAAGTACCATGAGTCTGTAATTTCACCAGCACCCTTATCCTTCCAAACCGTAACGCATTAATGCTCACGTTACTGCTTGGCGACAGAAATAGGTAAGGTGGCAGTACCTCTCTGGACGAAGTCTTCCACAAGCAGCTCTACTACTTCTAAACTGTATTTCTAAACGCGCAATAGGATGTACACAGCACACACTAGTTTTAGAAGTGATAGGTGGCAGTAGTCTTACACGTCACACTGGTCCAATGCAGCAATTGATATTTAACATTCTTTTGTCACAGGCTCCACCAGGTACAACCAACAGAGGCCGCAAGAAGACAATATCACTGGACCCTCCACAGGTGACAGTGCACCCATCCACTGGTGATCGGGGTACGCCACTGCCTAGCAAACGACAGAAAGTGGTAGGTAGGATACATCACACGCACACACACAAACAGAGACATACACGCGTATACCCACCAAAAAGAAGGCGATCATGCTACCTTTACACAACGAAGAGCCATTACCAATTTGTTGTTGCTTTGATCTATTCACATTACGTGTATAATTATATTATATACTAAATAATTATACAACATTAAAACCTCTTTACAGTCACAATTTACTCGTACATTTGTAATTATATTGACACTCGCTCATGCACTTACATATCAAATAGGTTATTTTAGATCCACTATTTACACTTTACTATGTATATTATTATTCTCAATGTATAACTTTACGCATAGTCGTTATATGTTTGCTTTCAAATAACTTAATCCCTCTCGTTGGTCCTGACTGAAAACCAGCGCCTCATTAAACTTTGGCATATGCTGAGTCAGCGCGGTTTCACTGCTATAACAATCATGTTATGTTTTTTCTTTTATGCTAATATTTCTCCCGGCCCTAGGCTTCTGCGTGGCCGTTCGGCCACAGAGGCAGTTAAAGTTTTTATCTATGTACTAACAGCAGTTAAAGTGTCTATCCACCAGATGGTGGCAGATTTTTTCTTTCAAATTCTCTTGGCTTAACCGTTTTACATGAAAATCTGTCTGAAAGATCAAATCCAGGGTTTTGATTTGATCTATTAATAATGTATTTAATGACTGATGCATAATACCTCAGACGCCAATGAAATATGCTAGAATTGTAAGCAAGTGGGGAACTAACTTCAATAAGAGACGGAAGTTTACGATGTAGGACGTAGATATAAAGAATAAATTTATTTATATAACGGCGTGTCATTAAAATATTTGATTATCGATTATCGGGATATCGAGTAATTAGTTTATTCGCTAAATCAATGATTGTGTTGTGTTGTGTTGTTGCCAATTTGTGGGGAATTCCCCAAATTGCGGGGAATTTAAACGAGTTTGGGGATTTTCTGGGGATTGAATAGGGTTATTTAATTTTGTAAGGCAAACAAAAAGGTTTCTTTTTTCAAAGACTGATTAATGTTGAATCTCATTAAAATAAATAAACGATTAAAGGTCATCTAATTTTATAATTTGCTTTACATTTTACGTTCTGTTCATTCACAACAAACTTAATAGATGGTTACATTTTGAGTTTCTTAATTCTTTATTATATTTTTAAGCGATGTATTTGTAAACTGCCTCCGTGGCCGAACGGTTACCATGCCGGGCTGCCACGCAGAGGTCTTGGGTTCGATTCCGGGGCCGGGAGAAACATTTGTATGGCCTACATTTATTTCTCTCGTGAGTTTGGGTGTAATTTGTGGTTGTCTATGTGTGTGTCCATGACACCCGCGACACAGGGTTTCCCTAGTGCGGGGCTATGTTGAGTGTGTGCGTTATTATATTATAATAAATAATGAAAATTCGAGACGTGGGGAATTTGAACTTTGCTCTGCTCAAAGTTGGGGATTTTAACCATGATTATTGGGAATTCTGAAACGCTGGTTGTAAGTGACAGTTTTTCGGCGGGGAAGAAGTTTGGTCGTGAGAGTGCACTTACAAACCCATTGCCTTTAAATTTAACTATTTTGACGTTATTATTCACTGCGGGGCTCAACGAAGAACGTATAGACCAATTATCAAATAATAAGTGACAAAGGAGTTTCCCTTAACGTTTCCCCTTTTACGTCTTAGTTCGACATACATATATCATTCTCATGGAAGAATGGCATAAGTATTTCCACTTATGCCGTCAACATTTTTTTTTGATATAGAAACGTTAGATACAGAAAAATATAACCCACATCCTCTCCAATTCTTGTAACTGATAGAGTTACAACAACAGGATTAGGACAATATTAGTCGATAGAGTTATAACTTTGCAGAGAATGTGGGTTATATTTTTCTATATCTAATGGAGCAATAAACATTTTTTACGTAACTCCACTTATGCCATTCTTCCATGAGGGGTGGGATATATATAATATCAATAAAAAATAATATTGGACATGTTTTGAATAGAATTGACCTCATTTCAGGACGAATATGGTAATTCCCGATCATCAGTGGAAGTGATCCGGTTGCCGAACAAACCGGACGGCCGGCCCGGACAGAACTCCATAGCTGGAACACCGCCGCCAAATCTTTCCGATTATGCAGGTACAAACACTATTAATTTTGTTAGATTTTTTATTATAGACTAGCTGGTACCCGCGACTTTGCCTGCGTAGAATAATTACTTCAAGTAGCCTGCTGTACTGCTGTGTAAAAATCATACAAACTACGTGTCTAGCCTGTTCCCATATCACGACTATCTGTCGTGGACGACTTTTTATCATTGAACGACTGTCGTGACTAGCTGTTCCCACTAGATCGTTACGACAATTTATCGTTTCACGACAGCCTCCTTGCCCATCTCTGGCTAAGAATCAACGCTACTGCAAAGCGAACAGAGGGCGCGGGGTACGAGAGGGGAGGGCAGGGAGCAAAATACGTGCGGACAGCGATAAATAAAACGTGACGACAATAGGAGCTGCGACAATCTGTCGTCACGTTTTTATCGTGACTTTTTTTATCGTCTGACGACTGTCGTTCTAACTGTTCCCACTGTCACGACATAGCGGGAACGCGCCCTTAGCCGCGTTCTAGATAGCGCAGGACAGTAGTACGATTCTTACACTAACGTCACAGTACATTTATGTTAAGAAAAATATAATTTTTTTTTATGAAAAATAGTGACAGACCTAACATTAATACGAGGAATTAAAACAAACCTGCAGTTCTTGACAGTCGTTTTCAATGGGCAATATATACGCTTCTATAATAAGGTTCCGATTGATATTCTTTGTCATTTACGAGGTTTAAAACTATAGTGGAACGAAACGTAATAATACATCTTCTGCGTACTTGGATGACAAAAATCCGTGGTCGTGACCCGTTTAGCTCTTTCACGTAGTCTCGATCGATATAATTTGCTTACCTATGAAATAAAGATTATTTGACTTTGGACTTTACTGAAAAGTTGACATTTCGCAGATATGGCCTTATTACACGAAGAGTGCGAATTATCCATATCTCCCTTCTCAGTAGTGCACAGGTAAACATGGTTTTGTTTTTATCACAGGCATATCGAGAGAGCTGTTACAAACAATAGCTAGCCAGAGCGGCGTTAGTCTGGCTGCGCTTGAGAGACAGCTAGCTGGCACTTCTGCTTCACATGGTAAGTTCAACATCGACTGCTGAACTTGGGCCTATACTGTAAACACTGAGCATAATAATAATATACATTTTTTTTTATATATAATACCATGTCATGGGACAAACAAGTCGTGCGCCTGTCTGGTGGTAAACGACACGCTTATCCATAACAGTTGAAGTACGACTCAGAGCTTTGAATTGCAAAGATCCTAGGGGCACTAACACTGCGCCCGTCACCTTGAAACATAAATTGACAAGTTCCATGTGCCTATAATTTCACCAGCACCCTTACCCTTCCAAACTGGAACACTGCTTGACAGTAGAAATAGGTAAGGTGGCAGTACTTCCCTGGACGAACTCTTTCGCAAGGAGCTCTACTGCTACTAAAAAAAATCCTTACATCTGACAGGACTCGAACTAGCGTCTGCGCCGTAACAGGACGACCGCTCCACCAACTGAGCTACAAATCTAATCAGCAGACCTTACCAATTTTTCTACGCGTTTATTACAGATCTTTGTTTGTTGATTTTAACGGTTTTTTTGCTGTAGTCGATGCCGTCGATGTTTGCCATCTGTGAGAAATCTATGAAAGCTTTTCTTCACCCAAACAGGTAGCTTTACAGCTACCAGAGGTTGACAGAGATGTCGCATTGTAAATCATAATATTGATTGTAATTAACATTGACTTACAAATAAATGGACGACGGGTCTAATACAAAAACCAACGAAAAAAATGTCCCAAGTCAACCTATTTAAACGTAGTGACATGTAAAGGAGTATGAAAAAGCTAAAACGTTGAATTTAAATTGTAATGTCATCGCAGCACTGTCTAATTTTGCTTGCTTCGCTGTCAGTCGAACAAACGAAGACTAAACCGTGAATGACGCTCTGTACGGTATTACTGTTGGTAAAAGTGCATAATACTTGGCCTCTGAAGTACAAGCGTGTTGCGCGATTTCCGACTTGCAAAATTTTACAATATTATATCATAGCAGTCGTTCTAATAAACACGTACAATATAATTCTATTATCTATCTTTATTATTAACTGAGTTCAAAAAAGGAGGTTCTCAATTCGACTGTATGTTTTTTTTGTATGTATGTTACGCGATAACTCCGGTATTTGTGAACCGATTTTCATGATTCTTTTTTTGTTGGAAAGAGGGTATCTCCATAGTGGTCCCATTTAATTTTGAAGAAAATCGTCCACCTCTAAGGGTGGCTGTTCACGCATGAAGATTCATTTTTATAAATAGCGCCTAAATTTTATTATAAGCAGCAATTATTTTAATGTTTGATTTTGCTATTCTCCAATTCAAGGCGTTTTTCTCTCTCAATATACTTTGAGAAGTGAGAACCGATTTTTATTATATTTTAGTGGCGAACTAGGGGATGCATCCGGGTTTGCGCACTACCCGGTAACCGATTTCAATAAAACATGGTAATTATATGTATTTCCACGTACTTTTGAGGTCGGATTTCTTAGTACTCTGTACTGAGATTATTTATTAATTTATGAAATTTTTTGTCATTATTTATGTCAATTATGATATAAAGTTTAATTTATAATATTTAATTTGTATACTTGTCACGTTGTTATTATAATATTATTATTAATCAGATTCCGGCCTAAATCTGAGCACGAAAGAAAGCAGCCGTGGTGCAGAAGACACCCCCCTGGACCTCGGTGTGAAGTCAGCTGTGGATGACGACGCACCCCTTAACTTGTCCCTTAAACCTACGCCAGGTTAGTATTATACCGTACATTTGTCTCCGTACTTTATACTCAAGTGAGATAAGTTCGTAAAATGCAGGTATAATTTATACCGGTAGCGTCTCGAGCGTACCGGTACTATAGTAAGGTTTATGGTACCGGTTCCTTAAAATACCGACATTCCAAGCCTTGAAATATATCTGTTTATCGTTGGTACCCATTGACTTACAAATAAATGGACGACGGGTCTAATACACAAACCACGAAAAAAATGTCCCAAGTCAACCTATTTAAACGTAGTGACATGTAAAGGAATATGAAAAAGCTAAAACGTTGAATTCAAATTGTAATGTCATCGCAGTACTGTCTAATTTTGCTTGCTTCGCTATCAGTCGAACAAACGAAGACTAAAGCGTGAATGACGCTCTGTATACGATTTTAACGCCCTATAAGTTCGGACACTTTTTAGCGCGGACCCGACGTCCATATAATTCTAAGTCAATGTTGGTACCCATCTTATTTTAAATTTACGCGCACTTTGGTAACGCGGTTAGACGTAATTCCACGAACTTTTATTTATTTACCAAATACAGTACAGTTACGTTACAGTTCATTCTGTCCTGTTACATTACCATTATAATTTAACGGCCGAACGATTACTATGCAGGACGCAGAGGTCCCGGGTTCGATTCCAGGGCCGAGAGCAATATTTGTATGGCCTACATTTATGTCTCTCGTGAGCGTAGCCATGGCATCCGCGAAACAGGGTTTTCCTATTGCGGGGCTGTGTGTGCGTTTTTTTTATTTAATATTTTTTTTATTCATTGTCATATCAATGTACTTTGTTAACATTACAGCGAGCTCGCAAGCTTCTGACGCGTTATCAAGACTGACTTCCCTCAGCAGTTCTTTAAGTGTCGCCAACGACAGGATATGTAAGTTTTTATTACACTTCTTTCATGATTACGAAGTCACGGGACGAATAAATCATGCGCCTGATGGTGGTAAGCTGTTGAAAAGCGTCAAAAGAGGCATATAGGTAACACTAATTTAGTCAAGGCTGCTTACCATTGAACACCACCGTAAAGTTGCCTGCTTCTTAGTATTACACATATATCACGGAGAGTGTGATTCCCTGCCTTCGGACTTATTCCCCGATAGCTGTGACCTGGACATTTTCACGGCGAGAGTGAATAGGCATTATATAGGTTATTAAAAATTTGTAAAATAATTCCTGTTAAAAAAAAATGTTTGCTTTCTCAAATATTACAAGAATATTCAAGTCATGAATATAAAGTACCAAAAAATTATAATTATCCAACAAGACAAGCAATAATTGGCAGCTATGCAACTTTTAAAACAAATAACGTATATGGTAAAACGATTTAATTCCAACATTGTTTAACTGTCTACCGTCACACTTAAAAAACATTAAAGGTACTAAAAAGTCCGTAAAATTTAAATAAAAAATATTTGTTAGATAGGTATGATAGATGTAGGTAATTGAAATACTGTAATGTTGGTAACTGAATGTAATGTTCATGTGTTTATCTGACTGTAATATTAAGCGTAGCAACTAAACTCTCCCGATAAACTTTCATGAAGTTTGGGAGAACCTTATTTTATTTGTCAAAAAGTCATTGAAAGGATAAATAAATTTAAAAAAACGTGTGCGTGCTACATAGTCGACCTCATCATCACTTACCATCAGCTGAGATGGAGGTCAAATGCGCACTTAAAAAAAACAGTAAAAAGACTGGGATCTAATAACAGTTCAGAGACCTTTGCGGGCGTGGGCACAACTCATGAAAGCGTTATCACGGTGACATGGGTAATGAGCCACACGGGACACAAATACATATTATTTTTTAACCGATTTCAAAGAAAGGAGGAGGTTTCCAATTCGATTGTTTTTTTTTTGTATGTATGTTACGCGGTAAATTAGTGAACCGATTTTGATGTTTCTTTTTTGTTGGAAAGAGGATACCTCCACGGAACAATGAATATAGTAGAAGTGGTTAGTTCGCGTGCGATGCGTGCCAACTATATGTCTTGAAAGACCTATCTGAGCTCAGTCCGCCGTTTTCGCTTTGTATGCTGACACAGCAATAGCATACAAAACCCTAGAAAAATACCTACTTGTGCTGTTTTGGAGTGCAAAAATGGTAGCCGCACCAAAAATACTACCCGTGGCGGTATTTCATATCATCGGAGTCTTATTATAATACATTTTCAATTTTCTGTTTATCGAAATAATTCGTTTATTACAATAAACGAAAGTAAAGCTTATACCCCTGCAATAAGGTCGCTTCTTTTTTGGAGAACTAAATTAATAACTCCAATTCGTCGTCGTTCAGCAATTAACCGCTAGGTGGCAGCACATTGATTGAAATTTCAATATAATATCAAAACGTACCTTGTAATAATAGGTATTGATGGTATTGAACTTTTAATGATGGGACAACAATGTAAAGTTTAAATTATATTTTTAGTTATTTCTTTTTAGATTTCAAACTACCACCAAACCATATCAAGATTTTGTAGTGTTTCAAATTAAGCATGTTTTTGCGACATCGGTTCTGATAGTAATTTAGACTTAGGGCACTCCATTGTTTTTTTCTTCCTTGCGTACCTCAGTAGTCCCATTTAAATTTGAAGAAGATATTCCACTTCTAAGGGTGGCAAACTAGGGGATGATTAATTACTTTTGAGGTCCGATTTTTTTGTACTCTGTAATGAGATTATCATATATAATAGATAATAATAACTTATATACTTCTTATTTCTTCCTCAGCCCGTCGCAAACCAGGTGCGAAACCCCGAAGAGTGGCTCCAGACTTGGGCTCAGCTGGAGAATCACCTCGACCGAAATCCAGTGGAAGCGAGGATAGCGAAAGTGAGTTCAACGGCATATCGACTGTGAACTGGCAACCGGTATTATCTCAATTTTGACAACTTTACAAGATGAAGAAAAAATCATTTATATAGTATCTGGTTTATTAAATAAAAATACCTAGTGTACATACATACATGTGTAATAAAAATATTTAAAAACTACGTATTTTTATTTATTAAATCACATGCTATGTAAATGACGCAAACAATTTTTTTCTACATCCTGTAAAGTTGTCAAAATTTAGATAGTACCGACTGCCAGTTTACAGTAGATATACATACAGTTCTATTCAATATGTTCAAGCTTCGGAAATATTTGTACTTTAACAGGAAATGACGATTACATTATTTAGCTGTGTATCTTTGTGACGTATTATTCTGGGCAGACGAAATTGGATCTTAAAGGGAAGTAATAAAGCTATTGTGAATTGGCTACTTCATGTTACAAATAATTTAATTAATAAGCTCGTTTTCTAAAATTAAATGACAAAAAAGAACTAGAAATAACCGTTTCTTGCACTGCTAGCGCTTTTTTATCCAAACTCGCTCCCCACTTGATCGTTAGAGAGAGAGAGAACAACCTCCACCACAAGGTACCTGGCCCCCCATGGAGAGCGTAAGAAACGTAAGATAGCTCTCCATGGGGGAGTATCTTACGTATTTAACAGAAAAGAAATTGAAGAAATTTCAACTTTATACCATAGGCAAAGGACCGTTGATTAAAAATTATCAACTTATATTTGAAGCCAATACTAAATTTCGTCACTTACAGACACAGAGCCGATACAACCTCAAATGGCTTTAGTTGCATTCATTTTGGAAAAAATATATCGGCTGTGACTTTACAGGATGAAGAAAAAATCATTTATATAACATCTGGCTTATTAAATAAAAATACGTAGTGTACATACATACTTGTTTAATAAAAATAATTAAAAACTTCGTATTTTTATTTAATAAACCAGATGCTATGTAAATGACGCAAACAATTTTTTTCTTCACCTGTAAAGTTATTAAAATTGACATAGTACCGATTGCCAGTTCACAGTCGATATAGTAAAATTGAGGATATACTTTGGTTACTGTACAGGAAGATTTTTTAAACACTATCCAAAATTTCATATTATGATCTGCAATGAAAATAATTATATACGTAGTTTTTCTTTTAGTATCATTCAGTACTAAAATATTGAGATAAGGCATTACAAAATTATCCAAAAAAATCCTGACGTAAATGGTCACCGCGCATTGCGCTTCCGCCCCCCGCCCCGCCATTTGATTGATAACAAATAATAACATCCATAAGTTGCAAATTTTTCCTTCATACTTTAACGGGCTTAGGACCGTCAGATCGCAAAAGGCATTATTGTACCTACCTAAATTTCATAGTGATAAGGTAGTTTAGGTTACTCGTTAACGTTTAAATTAGCTAGGTAGTAGGTAGGTTTAAATTACTCAGAAGGCAATTTTACAAAGTAGGTAGGTAGGCAGCACATTTTGCAATAAGGCGTATTTAAAAAATTTGAATCAACTTAGAATGTACAATAATTAAAATCAATGAAATTCAACTTGCCTACAATAAAACAAAAAAAAAAGATTAAAATCCTAATAACTAACTGTATTTTAGCAATTGTTCAAAATGCAAACCATTTCTCTCTAAACAGAGTCTAGCACGTTTCTGCACATTGTCTTTCAATTTATTAAGCACTACAGTGTCTCTTTTCACTTCATCAAACGCGCGTATGATTTGCAGTTTTAATGCGTCTAGGCTTTGGACCTCTTCCACATACAGACGTCTTTTAATTTCACCCCACAAAAAAAAGTCACATGGAGTCAGGTCCGGTGAGCGCGCTGGCCACGGGACGGGGCCTCCGCGGCCGATCCAGCGGTCGCCGTGCTCAGCGCCGAGGTATTCGCACACCGCGGCGGAGTAGTGAGGCGGGGCACCGTCTTGTTGGAAATAAAAGTCGCGCAGGTGCACGAGGGGCACCTCGTCCACAAAGTCCGTGATCACCGTACGCAACATATCCAGATACGTGCCACCGGTCAAGCGTCCCTCGATAAAATACGGCCCAAGTACTTTATTGCCTACGATACCGGCCCACACGTTGGCACTAAAACGCACTTGATGATAGGTTTCCCTTATCATGTATGGGTTTCGGAATGACCACCAGTGTTCGTTGTGCTGATTGTATAATCCGACACGCGTAAACAAAGCCTCATCGGTCCACATTATAACGGCCGTCGGGTGCGCAATTAGCCACAGAAGGCTCGGCGGGGCGCAGCATCTGCATCACTTAATGCTTGCACCTTTTGGAAGTGGTAAGGGTGCAACCCTGCGGTGTTGAGCAGCTTCCAGACGGCGTACTGGCTGACCTCGAAGCGTCTCGCTGCATCTCGAGTACTTGCACGAGGGTTTCTTTCGAAAAAATCGAAGATTTCTTCCTCGATCTCTACTGGCAGTCTTTGCCTTCCACGCCCTTGTGCATGTGAAGGAGAAGTGAACTGGCCATGATCTAACAGCCTTTGATTGGCAGCGAGAATCGTGGCACGGTATCGAAGGATTCACTACACCTTGGTTGCGAAGGCGAGGGAGGCTTTCCGCTTCGAACAGTCTTTGAGCTCCGTTCAAACATTCGCCACTTAATAAATAACATCGCACCATTTCATAATATTCGCGGTTTGAGTACATCGCGGGGGCTGCGCTATGTATCGCAATTCGCAAGAGATAACACGCTTTCGCCGGGCGGAAATGCGCGGGCGACTGCGTGACCTTTGTGCGTGACTTGTCGCCGCTCCCGGTACCCCTCCGCCCTCCCCCGCAACTAGCCCTTCCCGTCTCCGCGCCGCGCGCGCAGGTGTGTTCATTGATGTAGCCGCCTTGCGTACTAGAGAAATTTACGCTAGAAATGGTTACCACGCTTTATTGATTATTGGATCGGGAAAATTATTTTATTGTGAAAATATGACCTACATATTTTATTTCAGAAATGGGTTCTATTAACGATACCTAATGCCCAAAAAAAATTTGGATAGTGATAAAAAAATCTTCCTGTATGGTGTGAAAACACAATTCCTAAAAATTTTCATGTCAGAAAAAACAAACTTACCACGAAATTTTACACGAAAATCGCCGTATTCAATAGGTACTTTACATATACCATCGATTTTTTTAATATCAACTGAACTAAATAGAACACGTATAGTATATTATATACATTTTTCAAATGGCTTTAATTCGGTCGATCCAAGTAAAATTAACCATATTAGCACGGAACAAAATAGAATAGAATATAATAGAATAGAATACGTTTATTTGCCAGAATACAGTAATTACAAAGGTCTTAAGTAAAATTAGGTACATTGTATTCAACCTTCAAGCAGATGTGCAAATATTAATTGAAAAAAACAAAACCAAAAGATCAACAAAGTCGGCTTGCGGTATCAGGTATCTTATGCTAATACGTTACAATATTCAGTTAATACAAAAAAACACTTTTCAAGCTGTAGGTTGGCCCACGCGAGAAGGCCGACCACGCAACCTGGGCCGCGGCGTAAGCAAGCCCAAGAAAAACACAGTAGCGTCGCTACTCGCGCAGAGTCGAGCGTTGGGACTGCGACCGGCGCTTGCGCAGCAGCTGCTCGGCGAGACTGACTTGGTTAGTATTAGTACTGCATACTTAATTATACCGTGTAATTTGTGGAAGCGCAGCAAACGAAACCTTCTTCGTCCAGTCTATAGTAGCAGCAGAGCTCCTTGTGAAAGGGTTCGTCCAGAGAAGTACTGCCACACTGTGTGCATTACTATTTACCGATTTTGAAAGGTAAAGATGCTGGCGAAATTACAGGCACATGGAACTTGTTAACTTATGTTTCAGGGTGACAGGCGTAGTGGCAGTGCCCCTCAGACCCATGCGATTTAAAACTCTTAGGCTGGTTTCAGAGCAGTGCGGACTTATCGGCATCCGCGCGGAGCACCGAAGCAGAGTAATACTTGTCGTATTAGAACATCGTTTTACAGTGACGCGGATTGCTCCGTGTGGAACACGCTCCGCGTGAACTCTGCCCAAGCCGCCTGTGCGTTCATTGTAGGCGACTGTCTTCTGTGAATATCCGCACTAAAATACTCGATTTAGAACATGAACTGCGGATTCTATGCAGGCGGACCGTCTTGAGTGGCACTGCAACTACTATGGACAGGCATGTTGGTTACCTTCAGGCGCTCGACTTGTTCGTCCTGCCACTTGGCACCATAATAAAAAATAAAAAGTTTAATAACAATAAAAATAGTGCAGTATTAGTATGGTTTAACATATTAACGTTAATTACAGGAAAAACTAAAAGCCTTAATGGGTGAAACGGCAAGCACAGACTCTGAATGTCCATCAGACAGTTGCCCCTCGGACTCGGATGCCAGCGAGTCCGGACGCCGCCCTCACGAATCGCAGCTGCGTCTTCCTTTAGCACTAGGTGAGCAATACAGCTTTTTATTCCTTACACGTTTGTCTAACGCTTTTTATAATAATAAATAGACTATGCTCTGAAATGGAATTTATATAAAAAAATGTAAACAAAGGTAACGCCATGACAAAAAAAAACTAGACAATTTTAATTACAGTTAATAGCGACTTCTTTAGCCAGGGCTGGTAGTTGTAAAGGTACCTCACTGGGTGACTTATAGATTTCTGGGTGGTTCATAGATTTCTCATAGTTGGCGTGACATGGCTAAAAAGTCGATGAAAAACCAAATACTAACATCCGACAACAAGCACATGAAAAGATTCGTGAGGTCCGTTGGTTCGTTCCGTGGCTTAGTTGGCATAGCATTTAGCACGGTTTGCTTGGAGACGTTGGTTCGAAACTGGCAAATCATCTAATTACAAAACAAACGGAATCACATTTCACCGGTAATGAAATATTAAATATGTAATTTTTCAATTTTTGTCCATATAGCAAAGCTCAAGTTAAACTGGTCGATTTGAAGTGAAACAATTGACGACACCCGTCAATTATTTCGAATTCGGGCTGGCCAATCGGAGCACAGTTGTCACTGTAATGATTAAGCAGAATAGTTTTCAAACAAATTAAATGACATTTCGTCTCTATTTCTGATTATACTCGCTGTATATTTGAAAGTGAGACATATTCATACATGTTATAGTAAATCATGTTACAACTTAATATATACTAAAATAAAATTAGGATAAGGGATAGAATAAAAAGTAAATCAACAAATTTGTTTTGGAGTGTACATAGCAATAAACCGATTCCTATATTTGTTTTAAATTGTTCAACACAAACACATTTTGTCTCACAGTATAAAATGCTGATATAATCATCTCATGCCGCAACACTTCGGCACTGTTCACCTCCTCCGCGTAAAACTCCAATTTGGGAATATTTCAATCGCTCGTCTCACACTATCACTACTTATTGCGTAAAGTCGCACCATCTCAGTCAATAGGACGTTAGAATAAATATCTATTTTGTGCGAGCGAGCGGAAGTACAAATAATTTACTTATCTTCGCTAGGCCAAGGTCGCGAGTGCACTGTCTCTGCAAACAGCAATTTCGCATATGCGTCCGCGCCTCACCCCCTACCTGTGCTTTGATTTTCGCCGCCGTGCCGCAGCTCGCCGTTGAGTCGGAGCAATAATAGTCATGCGCATAGATTTCGATAACTAATGTTGTTCACAAGTAGTAGTCGATAAAAAAAATTAAAAATATTTTTTTGTAAAGTTTAAGTTCATTACTTTATTATTTCTTTGGGTTCAGAATCAGGAATATAACGCAGTCTATAGGTATGTCCCACTTTCAAATATAGAGCCTGCATACTCGATGTATACACATAACTTAACTTCTGTACACTTAACTGCGGAAATATATTGCGAGTGATACAACTTTAATTAGGACACACCTTAAGGCTATTTCGAATAATCAAGAAAGTGTGTCTGTCTACCGCCCCGGTTTTCCCCGCCTGCCTAATCTTTACACAGTTGGCTAACTTGCAGAACACTATGATCACTCCTGTCATGTCAGGAGCGACGATATTGCAACATTAGGTGTTGCGTTCCATTTTCGTTCAGTTAATGTTGCCGTCAGCACGTTCCATTTCAATACGCTGTTTGTAGTTTGCTTCGTGATGTCACTCCGACATATTTATATTCTGAATATCCTTCAGATATTGATGACTGCCTTCGTGGCTGAACGGTTACCATGCCACGACTGCCACGCAGAGGTTCCAGGTTCGATTCCCGGGCCGGGAGAAATATTTGTGTAGCCTACATTTATTTCTCTCGTGAGTTTGGGTGTAATTTGTGGTTGTCTATGTGTGTGTCCATGGCACCCGATATACGGTTTCCCTAGTGCGGAGCTATGTTGAGTGTGGGCGTTATTATTATTATATTGCCTCATTCCACAAAATTGCGCTAGTAAAATGCATATAACTCTTTGCTACCGTCGATGTTTTAAACACCCAATAGGGTGTTAGAAAACTAAGATAAAAAAAAAGATGTTAAGAAACCGCTTACAGGGGGTTATAGATTTTGTTTCGCTGTTTCCAGATATGTTTACAACTCGATTTTGCTAGAATGTCCATTACGTTAGTTATTATAGGGAAGGCAGGAGCTTTCACTTTGTTGAAGAATTTCTTTCAATGAAAATTGAATTTTTTCTCCTCCAGGCTGGAAGCGAACAACAGTAATCAAAGGCTTATCTCGCAACTGCAGCATCAAAGGCGACGTCGCGTACACCCCGCCCGATCCGCACTCCAGTATGAAGATGAAATCCGCTCAAGAACTACAGGCTGTAAGTCGACTACTTTATTTTTAAACTGGAATATATTTTAGAATCGTTTTGTGCCCATGCACGTTTACGTACCGTAGTAGTATTTCTCTGACGTTAAGAGGGTAGTAAGCGAGCGTGCTCTGTATTTCTGCGGTGTATGGTCGTCGACAAACTGTACAGGAATGAACTTAATGAAATAGGGCAAGACGAACCCTAGCGCCCTTAGGTGTGTGCCTATCACCCTAAGTACCCTAATCGGCCCTAGCCCTAACATTATAAGTTTGCTAAATAAATATATAAATAAGTACAGGATATCTGCACCGTGAGACCTCAGGCAACTAACGGACGGAGGGAAGGAAATAAGGGTGTACTTGGACGGATATTCTCACTGTCGATCTCACGGCTCTTAAGACTGATCTGCTGATGGCTAAAGGTGTCTTGGCCACAGTGAGAGGGTGCTAGCAGGAGATAAATTAAACTCGACTGGTGTTGAAAGACTAATTTTAATAATAAATTAATTATAAATTTGAAATGAAATGAAATGAAATATTTATTCGCAAGCAAACACGGTAAGAAAAGATATTATTATACAAGGTGTCAAGAACACGTGTTGCACCAGATACTGGCACGCAAATATTAAAATAAATTGAAGTTAAATAATGTCATAAATTAAAATTATACAATTTGTCAAATAAGCAATGTCGTATAAAATTAAGTCAAAATGCCAATAAATAGCAACAGTAACAACATCATAAATTAAACAATATCAAAGAAGTAAGAACAGCGCAAATATAATCAAAGTGTCAAATACAAACAAAATGTCAATTTCTTTTTATTATTAAAAAATCTTTGATATCGTATAAACACAGATCACATAGCAAATCAAATAACTTTTTTTAAAATATTTTGATAGGTAAATCTGCGATAGCTGCAGGCAAGGCATTATATATTTGTATGGACATGTTATAGCAATTCCTGTAAAAGCAAGTAGTCTTATGGGAGGGGCCAGCTATACGGTTTGGATATCTAGTTAAAAAATTACATACTTCACGTTTCCTAGTAAATAAGACCAAGTTTTTTTTAACAAACATCCATACCTCATATACGTACATGGCGGGAAGCGTTAGAAGATTTAGCTTTCTAAAAAACGGTCTACAAGATTCGAGCGGACCTATTCTACATAATATAGCTCTGACACATTTTTTTTGGATAGCAAATACACGGTTTATCTCTACGCAGTTCCCCCAGATGATGAGGCCATACCGCAAGCTTGAGCAGACAAATGCATGGTAGGCCATCAAGGCAGTCCTCTGATCACATATGTGCGTTAGACGATGTAAACCAAATACAAATCGATTCAGCTTTGCACATATTGAATCAACCTGTGGTTTCCATGTTAGTTGAGAGTCCAATACTATGCCGAGAAAATTGCTGGATGAGCATTCCACAATTTCATCTCCATGACAACTTACAGAGAGTTTTTGGGGCTTTCCATTATGATTATAAAATTGTATGAGCTTTGTTTTTGAAACATTTACTTTCAGATTATTTCTCTTAAGCCAGTCAATAATGTTACATATAGTGTCATTTATTTCTTTTTCATAATCTATGTCAGAATTCTTATTAATAATGATTGATATGTCATCTGCAAAAAGAGTGCATGGATATTTTGTCATTTCAGGGAGGTCATTAACATACAATAAAAACAGCAATGGACCTAAAATACTTCCTTGAGGCACACCGCATTTATTAACTTTAAACTCTGATCTGTGGGTCTCAATCTCATTATTATTATTTAACTTCACTACCTCTACACACTGAGTTCTGTTGCTAAGGTAACTTGCTATCCAGTTATGCACCTGGCCACGAAAACCGTATCTTTCTAATTTGGATAGTAGAGTTCTGTGGCAAACGTAATCGAAAGCTCTACTCATGTCAAATAAAACAGAACAGACAGGTACTTTCTTATCTGCAAAAGTTGAGATATCTTTGATTACCCTGAAACATGCCTGTGTGGTAGATTTTCCCTTTTGAAATCCAAATTGCTCTACTTTAATAATGTTGTACTTTGATAGGAAAGCCGTAATTCTTTTATGCATTACCTTTTCAAAAAACTTTGATATTACAGATATAAGTGCAATAGGTCTGTAGTTTTCCAAATGGTCTTTTTCGCCCCTCTTAAACAGCGGTTTTATTATGGAGATCTTAAGAGGCGATGGAAATGTACCCTCCATGAAGGACAGGTTTACCAAGTATGCCAGCAATGGTGATAGTTCATCAGCACACAATTTAAAAACCTTAGTGCACACGTCATCGTAACCGGTAGAGTTTGTGTTGTTGAGGGATTTTATTAAAATTTTTATTTCCGCTTCGTCCGTGGGATATAAAAATAAACTTGAATCATGCACCTTTGGTAAAAAAATATCGTTACTATCTTGTCCTGGGTCCGTAGTTGTTAAGTTTAAATTTAAAAAATGAGTGTTAAACTCTGATGCTATCTCTCGCGGATTTTCAATCTTAATTTTATTTACGGTAATGTGTTCAATAAAATGTTTGTCACGTAAATTATTGTCCTTGTTGTTTATTATGTTCCAAGTAGCCCTATTTTTGTTTTTAGCATTGACCATGTATCTATTATTACATTGCTTTTGAGCGGCAATGATAGTCCGTTTCAAAATTTTTGTGTAGGTTTTATACAGAGTCTTTCTATTTTGTGTCTTTTTTTTTGTAATAGTTCATACGTAATTTTCTTTTAGTGGTACAGGACTTTCTTATTCCTTTTGACAGCCATTTTAAATTCGTATTATCTTGAAACATTTTGACTTTAATCTTTGGAAAACATAAGTTAAACAATAGAACAAAATTATCATAGAAAAAACTAAAAGCATGTTCAAGGTCATCAACATAACTAAAAAGCTCGGACCAGGCATAAGTTTCTAAGTAGAATTTAAATTTAGTAACATTGTCCACTGAAAAGTTTTTAACTGCATTTAAATAAATAAATAAATAAATAAAAAGTCTCTCTTCATTTCAAACCAGTGCTTAATTGGTTTTTGACGCGAAGTTATAGGAAAAGTTAAAAGTTGAGCCGTGTTGTGGTCTGATAAGCAGACTGGTAATGTTTCTCCAACAGCATTAGCAATACTACTAGCGATATGATCTATGCAAGTGTTTAAGCGAGTCGGTGTGTATATATGTAAGTTCATATTGTAGCTTTCTAACAAAGTTTTTAGGTCACGTGATAATTTATTGTCAGTTAAGGTATCCACATTCCAGTCACCTGTCAATATAATTTTTTTATTCGCTTTATTTTTTAGTCTATCTAGCAATAAATCTAATTTTTCAAAAAATATATTAATATTTGAGTTGGGGATTCTATATATGCAGATTACTAATAATTTATGTTGCATAATTTCTATTCCACAGCATTCAAAGCTTAATTCCAATGCAAGTTCTTGAAGGAATGTTATGGGTCTTGCCTCGATGTTTCTGTCATGCATTATACACACACCCCCTCGTCTTTTATTATGTCTGCAAAAAGACGAACCCAGAGAATAACCCTTTAATTGTATGTTTGCTTCATTATTTCGTTTAATAAATGTTTCTGATAAACAAAGAACATCAATAATTTTTTTGTTATTACGGAGGTCTGATAATGTGATTTCCAACAAGTCTTTTTTGCTTAAGAAACCTGCTATGTTTTGATGCATGATTCGAAAATTGCAATAAGTATCTATAAAAAAGAGGAGGAGTCACAAACATCATTTATCAACAAGCTTAAATCTTTAAAAATTTGGCGAAGACCTGTGTTATTCAAATTGCCCTTAAAAACAGTAAACATGCGATTATCGTACGTAAGATTCTTATTCGAGTCCAGTACATAAGCATATTCATGAGTCAAATTGTCACGATAGAGTAAATTGTTAAATGTGTCAACCCGCTCATTAAATAACATGCTCGTATTCAACCCGTGTCTGAAAGTTGGTAAACATATGAACACATTGGTATTTTGAATTTTTAACAGTTTAGTCCTGAGCATATTAACTAAAATTTTATAGTCCATACTGGTTTCAAAATCCTTTTCTCCTATCATTATAACGCATGAGTCATACAGTGTATAATTTTTCACTTTCTTCTCTAAATTTGTCAGTAGCTGCTGAAGTCCTACATTTGGTGTCAAGTAATGACAAATTTTTGTGTTCTGGATGGTAGATGTTGCTGTCGTTAGAATCTTGTTTCTCTTATTGCTGCTAATAATACACATATTGCGTTGAATACGTCGAGTATCGCGTTTTGGCGGAGTCAGGCCAGTAATTAATGTATTCAATTCAATTTACATTAACACACTATTACAAAACATATCTCTAAAATCTAACAGCCTTACTTATAAACACTATTTAACTTTAAATAACGCTTTAAACATGTTTAAGAAAAATTCTTACCTATAAACATTAATAAGTGCTAAATGATTAATTAATTTGTTGTTTAAATAGCTGTTAACTTAAACACCCTAGGAACCTTGTTTAACTCGCTAATTAACAAGATGGCTGACATTAATCAGCTGGTAGCAGGTTTAGAAAACGTCAATGAGTTAAGCAGAGAGAGAGATTTGTTTTGATTTTTATTGTGCGACAATTTTTACTTGAATTGTGATAAAATGGAAATGGAAAATTTTTGACGTGGTGTAGCAGATTTGCGGTACTTTAAACGGAGGCACGCAAAGAACAAGAAACGATACGATCCATCGCTTCAGTTAGATGGATGAACATGAATTTAGGAAACAATATCGTTTTTCCAAAGAAAATATGTTAAAGATAATAGACAATGAGTTTGTTAGTATTTGTTTTTGATTCAATTTTTAGATTTTCGCTCCAAATGACAGCCATCTGACAGCAATTTTTTTTCTGTTTTTTGTCTTTTTATAGCTATTTTTAACAGTTTAAATTAGAAGAAGAAGATTAAACCATGGTAATTATTTTTTTCTTCATTAAACATTACATAACGTGTTTAACTTTTTTTAATAGGTAATACAAATTTAAATACTGTTTAAAATTTTAAATAATGCTTAACTTTAGTTAATTTTTTAGTATTGAAACGGATGTTTAGTTGTTTTTTATTAGTAAGGCTGCTAGTGTCTCGTCGGTGTAAAGTGCCGTTGAAGCATTATCTTACAGCCTGGTTTTCGGTCATTCGTCTTGATGAATAGTACTGCTGAAGCACTTTCTTGCAGTCTATTTTTGGGTCGTTCACCTGCTAAGTGGAATGTTCAAACATTGTTTGAACAGCGGTCTGTAAAATAAAGACACGACTATGACAGTAATACCACAAATAAATACTATACTAGTTCAAATACTCAAGCTCATACAAAGAAATGTCGCCCTCGTAATTCTGCTTATTCGAAAGCTTATTTTGATTCTCAACGCTGATTAATATACGGTTACCAAGTAAACCCGCGATGCGATTGTAATAATATTCGAAAACGCCAACAGATGGCAGCTACTACATTATTGCCAAGGTTATTGCTCTTGTCCAGGCGGTGATAGTACATACAATAACATATCGTCGGGGATATATAATTACGCGTAACTAGCATTTGATTATGAGTCTCCATTTCGATCTCTGTCCGCGTAAATGTCGTGGCAACCAAATTAGCGTGATTTACGGGAATCTATTGTTATCAGTCCGTAGACAACATAAATTAATGCTTATTGTGCATGAATGAAAGTCGTAGTCATTGAAATAACAAAGTAATAACTTTAAATCCCTCTCCTGTGAAATTTGGTTTGGTGCAGATACGCGCTTTTTACCAATGCTCAAAAGGTCACTCTAGAACGCAAAAACTGTGTAAAAAACTTAGGAAAACATTTCGTTTCACTACAGTTCTAAACCTCGCAAATACAATTTTTTTTAAAGACACATACAAATAGAAAGAATTTATTCCTTGAAAAAACAGTGCAGTGCACATCATAGATAAGTATAGAAAAAATATAATAACAAAGATTTAGACGAGGAACTAATTACAAATAATAATAGAGTACAAAGCGTGTGTGCGGTGCTGCCAAGGAAACCGTCATCCACTCAACTTGTCGTCTTATTTAAAGCGCTTCGACGCTGAATCCCAGCGTATCTGGCAACATAACACACTTGTCACGGAATAGCTGTCACAGATTGACTCCAAAAATATTGCATGACTCGAGCACATATTACTTTAAACACTAACATGATCCATTAAAGTACAATTAATGTAGTTACCAGATACATAGGCATGAGTTACATTATGTATATTATTGTATAATTAATTTAATTTAACATGTACAAACAATTCAATTGCAAACAACTTTGATACAATTGCAAACATTTGTGTAAATTATAATTATTTAAACTTATTAAACTCCTTTTCAACAGTTCCTGGAGAGCAACCCTTGTGGTCCCCTTACAGTGGACAATTTCAGCTTCAGTTCACGTGTCATCTTGGGAGAATACATTCAGCCCACACCTGAGGAACCTTTGATTCTTAATGAAGCCGAAATCACTAAGAGGTATGTGCATTCAAGGTCATTTACATGGCTCAGATTATTATCAAGTTAAATCACAAAACAATAAATGCAGTAGAAGTGGTTAGTTAGCGTCTGACGCGTGCCATATCCTATAGGTCTCGAAAGACCAACTAGAGCTCATTCCGCCATTTTCGCTTTGTATGGTATGGTTGTGTCATTCTTTCGTGCAAATTCTCTAAAATCGTAGAAAAATGCCTTATTGCACAATAATAGACCAGTTTAACATAAACTTTGCGATAATGGACGGAAATTGTTTAATTACCGATTAATGTGATTCCGTTTGCTTTATAATTAGATGCTTTGCTGTTTTCCCCACACCACTGAATGGAACAGCCTCTCATTATTAGAGATATTATCTTTATTACAATAAATACAGAATATTTTTGGAATATACGGAGACGTACACACAGGTCAGTTGTTGGCGCTGTATTATTTCAGTTTTCTATATGATTTCAGCGCAAACGAGAGTTGATATTTAAAAGTTATATAAGGCCTATTTGTCTGATGAGTTGCCAGGGATCGAAGGCCCTTATTTCATCTCTATTCCTGGTTATAAACCGATGATTACACATGAGACACTCATGTTCTTGGGAGGTAAAAGCGTTTATTCCCAGTAGGTCCATGTATTCAGTTCCACATGGAACAATTGTTAACCAAAACATGTCATATTTATTCCCATTAGTTCCATTAAAAGTGATTTTATAAAGAACTAAAAGCCGAAAAGCAGTATATAGAGCTTACAAAATCTTTAAACGTTACATTTAGGGCAGCCTTCGGAGACCCGGTATTGCCTTTACTTTCACTGGTTAATAGGTTATAACACATTGGTTTTTTCACTAACCAGGTACCTCAGAAAGGAACTCAATTTAGAAAAACCGATTAATTAAAGAAATTATATTATAGAAGGACCGACACGGCATAGAGAAAATATTTTAAAATTTAGTTACAGTAGAACTACTTGTGAAAGAGTTCATCCAGGGTAGTACTGCCCCTTTACCGTGGCAGTATAGACGTGTAGCTTACCATCAGGCGCACGACATGTTCGTCCAGTCGCTTAATATAATTAAAAAAAAAATAGCGTCTTCGCGAATCTGACTACGCGATTTTTTAAAATTAGAAAAAAATCTCAATCAGGTCTATCCCTCCATCTCTGTTTTAGGGTCATATTCCAGAACTCTACTCAAAGCTCAAGTCAGGAATTGAGCAGACTTGAGTATGATTTCAAGCACTGGAAATACGACCCTAATGGCAAGGACTTGAGTATGATTTTCAGTGCTCACTGCAATACTCAAGTCCTGACTTGAGCATAGAGTAGAGTTCTGGAATACGACCCTACCTTTACCTTTTCAATAACTCTGTTTCTTTCACAGGTTAGAAGAAGCCCGTGCATTAGCAGCTATTACAGGCACAAGACCGACCCCACCCCCATTAGACCAGCGCATAGAACTGGCTAGAAGACAACAGGCTGCCAGAGACGCGAGAAGAGATGCTAGTGCACGGTCCAGAGATCAGGTTAGCTTGGTTCTCATTTGCAATTATTCCGTTTTTGTACTTTACAATGACCCTTGACAAAAGATCATAAGGTCCACTTAGTGCAATTCTGTTTTAAAAACAGAAGATTTTAGTAACACGCAGATGTAACAATAAAACCCAAATATTATTATTATTGAAGTGATGTTGATTGTACGAAACTCTACGAGGCTGTTTGTGAGTTGCCGCTTTTTATGATGAACTTAGGGAGGCTATGCCCTCTCCGATCCGACATCCGATCATTGCCGTTCATGAGTAAAAATCATACATACACGGCCAAGATCCGATTTATATTATGATTTTTAACGTCCATTCATCAAATGCGGGCGTTTTTACATTAGACGACACGTCATTACGATGATGTAGAAATAAAATTAAATATTTTAGTACTACGCTATAAATAAGACTTGACTTATCTTTCGGAACCAGTTGATTAATTTACTTTCTACTTAGCGCCATCTATGTTATTTATACCGTACTACCAAAACAACATTTTTGCCCACATCGTAATACTGTCATGTCATTTAATATAAAAATGCTCAATCGGATATCGGAGCGATAAAGAAATATTAATCAACCTGCTTCGTAACAACCATGGAACAAACAAACTGTGGAAATTGTATCAAGCGGCTTTAGTACCGAACCCACTGTCGCCAAACGTTCACACTTGTAAACTTTTCTATAATCTTATCTTTTTTGAAGACGAACTAAAATGTCGTTTGCAGGGTTGCCAGTTTTCATACAATTTTAAATAGTCATTTATTGTCGACAGTTTTATCGGCAGATTGTGAAAAAAGGTAAAATTTGGCCAAAAATGTGAATGTTACGACGTTCTAATTACTAATTGCGTTATTGCCTTCTTTATTTCTATTTCGACAGTATCATATACATTTTAATAAGGTTCGGCGAATTTGATTATCTATATTGATTTAAAATGAGAAACTTTAAAATACGTCTCCTCTTTGTATACATATCGCACTTGAGAACTAACATAGTATTGTCTCAAAAATTGCGTTATATTATATTTTATCTCAAAATGGCGTTATATTAATAAATTATCTTCAAAATTTCGGTATGTTTATGTGTCATTCATATAAAATTTAATTTCAAAGTGACAGGACAACAATTGTCGCTTTAAAAGTAAATAGGTAATATTACTATAGCATAAAGGCATTTTGAGTTATACTATGTTAGTTGTCATGTGCGATATATTTATACATACACATAGTAGAGGCAGTGTCTCTACCACTCTAATCATACTACATCTCATTCTAAAGCGGCAATTGATAGGGCTCCGGCACTAGCTCAAGGTTACGCTGGCTACCGCTGAGTGTACCGACGTCGGCACAAGCATTCATACAAGTCTTTAATTTTTGAGCATTTGGCTCCGCACGACTGCACACGGCGGGCAATGTTATTTCCACCTCTTTGAACTCGTGCTTAGGTTTATTTTTCCTCGTAGTGAATACCTGGCGTCATTAGTCAGATTTAGTAGGCTATTATAGCGTAGGTATTTTCGATTTTGTATGAGGGTGTTGTATAATCTGTGCTAATATGTACTACTTGTTTTTGGAATTCCATTACATAACACTAATGGAATTAACACTTAAGGGGAATTAAATTAAAAAATCCTATAAACATCAATGAGAGCTTTAACGCACTGTTATGTTCTATGGAACATAAATATGGCTATAAGGGAATGCCCACTTCACATATCCGCTAGTTTGTTTGTTCCATGGTATGGCATTCAACACGAAATAACTCTATAAAAATTTTTGTTGAAGGCTCGTCTAGTCAGAGAATTAGAGCGAACGGAAAAGGCGGAGCACGCCAAGCGAGAAAAAGAGGCTCGAAGCCAACAGCTTTTAGAGGTACTTATGTCAACACTTACTTTTTAACATACGTTTGTAACATTTTTGGGGGCTTAAATTTTGAATACTCAATAGTTTTTTTTTCTTTCGCCCTTATTATGTCCCTGTATTGGGCAAAGGCCTGATATATTCGCTTCCACTGTCCCATATCTTGCGTGCGATCGAATGCCGGTCACTTCCATTTTTTTTAAAGCATACACGTCATTGCAAACTGTCAAATGACCAAACTGTAACCTCATGATTATCACTTATTACAGCGTTACTTACCACGTAGTGACTTCTTATTATTTTCCCTATATTTCGGAGTAATTACACGCAGGGCTTGGTACCGGTATAAAAAATGTATTATACTGCTATTTTATCATTTGGATACCTATATACCAGTGGAAAACCGATATATTTACCTTAACGTACCGGTATTCAGTTATTTGTAAAGTAAATCATGTTGATTATTTATTTGTATTTCAATAATTGAATATATAAAACAGAATATAAGAAACAATAATATAAAACAGAAGAAAAATTCCTTTATTGTGAATAAATATTTTATTAGTACCGGAATAATATACCGGTATACAGTTGTTATAAAAACCTATATAATACCAGACTATTGATAAGGTCAGTGAAACTATTTCTTGAAAATAGAGGTATAATTTATACTGGTAAGTATCTCAAGTACCATGTACTGTAGTAATTAAAATACCGACATTACATGCCCTGATTACTTGCTCCATAGCCACGGCTTGACATTGTTAATTATATATCGGGAAAATAAGAAATCATAGCGTGATTAGAAACCGGTAATTGGGTGGTTACCAACTTAAAACATTTGCTGTATAAGGAAGCAATCAAAATGCGTTGCTTGCTTTGGGCTAAACTCAAGTCCCCTCTGATTGGAATAACGCTGTCTCTCATCTATTTTCGCAATGTAGCAAATACTGCTTTGCCCTAGAGTTTGTTTGTCTTTTAATATCTGACACATGTTACTTCTAAAACATTTTTTTTAAAGTAATTTCTCTACCTTATAGTATGAATCATAATTAGACGTCCAAAATACGTTTTACATTTTAAATGGTAGTTTCTTATTTTTGTCGATAATAAACGTTAAAATCTATTTTCAAGCTGATAAAATTTAGAACAACTCACGTTTTGCAATATAATTTTTACTTAATTTCGTTCTATACAATAATTATAATAGGAGACTATGTTTGAGGTCGCAAATAGTTGTACGACGCTGGTAACATGGTAACACAATCAGGATCAAAAACATTTTTTATGCCGCCATTTTGTTATGTCATAGATGTCATTCGTGCTTCGTTTCTCAATTCGAATGTTTTTTTGTCTCCGTAGAGCGTTTGTTAAATTATTGCGTATTGTTGTTAAAGTTTTTGTTTTTTGTAATAGATAATTAAAATTGTAGAAAAAGAGAACCTCTTCCTTTTCCGATTCCGTTAAAAATAGAAGGTTTAACACGCGCATTCACAGTTTGACAATAACATTTCTTGTTTACATTTTGGACGTCAAATTATGATTTTCATACTATAAGAAGGTAAACTTTTGGTACCATTTCAATATCCAAAACTAATAATATAAAATATAAAAATAATAATTTGTGTGTTATAAAAAATCGAAAGTATTAAAAGGCGATTGGGTATCAATTTTTTTAGTATGTTTTAAGATAATTTTAACCTGGGTTTATTTTTAATGTCAACTTTTATTAGTCAGTTCCCCTGTACATTTGCTTGTACGGACAAAAGCACGTCTCCCTATACACTTATGAATTGAACTCTATGCCAATCATAATAAGACTGAGTGTGAAGTTTAACGTGCTGTTGACCGTTAATGTGTGACGTAATATAAATGTGGTAGAAAATTTTATGGGAATTTTTTTTCTATGTATTCAATGTGCTTGTGTTGTTTTTTTGTATTATTATTATATTTTTTATTATCAATTTGATGCTTGGCAACATTGTGCTCACATTAGTAGACTTTTTTTTAAATGGTCACTTTTTATATATGAATAAAAATTGTCATTATCAAAAATGTGGTCAGAGATCATGTTTAAATGGTCGATTGCTTTTTATGTAGTGTAGGAGCTTATTAGAACGTAGTTTTGTGTGTCCTTAGATTTGAGACTGTTGTTCATAGTTTTGGTTAAATTTTTTACTGTTTTTTTTTATTATGATCGATTTAAAAGATCGTTATAGGTTGAAAATACTAATCGATACTTCGGGAAAGAAAAAAAAAGTAATTTTATCAAAGATTTTTTTATCAACCGACTTAAAAAAAGGAATTACTCCTACATTTGTGAACGGATTTCGAAGATACTTTTTTCGGAAAGGGGGAGATTGATCTCATTCAAATTTGAAGAAAACGTTCCACTTCTTAACGTGACACGTTAGGGGATTTCGCTCTCTTTCCGTTAACCGATTTCAATAAAACTTAGCCAATAGATGTAATTTCACAAGCTGTTGTGGTTGGTTTTTATTTATAAAAAAAATATATTTTTTTTTTGTGAAAGTACGCCACTACTTTGTTGTTATAAATAACAAAATTGAGTCGTCTATGTAATTGAGTTAAATTTTTATGATCGTTCAGTCTGTATACTTAAAATTTAGTTATGCGGGAAATAGGCTATTTTTACAGTTATAACTTTTCACTCTCTTAAAGTTTGCAGTATAGTATTTACACCCTTTCTTCCACGAAGTATCGATATACGTGTTTTAAAAAAATACTAAGTTTAAAAAATATGAACAACAGGGCTTATATACGTAGTATTTATTTACATAATTATATCTCTTTATGTATTTATGTAACAAATTTACCTGTCGGGATTGTCAGCTCTAATCTAACACAAAACAAACTATGGACAATGTTGTCATAAGTCCAATTGATAATAAAGGCAAAAAAAAACAAAAAAAAAAACAAGAATTAATTAAAGAAAAATTACGACAGCATATCAACATGAATAGAACGCAGTTGACCATCGAGCCCGTGGCACCCAAACTAGATAATTGGAAAATACCAGACATTATAATGGGTCCTGCAACAAAAACTAACAAGGAACGCATTATGCCACCTATAAGCCTAAGTCTTATACCAGTAAGCGGTCCTGATGGAAGCCAGAATTCACCTATAAAGACTTTAAACTTTGACCAAACAAGTTGGAAGGAATCTGAAGAATACAATGCACTGGACAAAATGAAGGATTTCGCAGAAAAAGCAGCCTTTGACCTTCCAAAACGGTCAAATGACAAATATTTCAATTTCACTTTAATGAAGTCCGAGAAGAAGAAAGAGAATAACTTGGAGAAGTTAATTGATTCGTATTCGAGAATAAGCGAGTTTATAAACGGCTGTGATTGGTCGAAATTGTCGTCCAATAAGAAGGAGGATCCTAAAGAATTGGAACAAAAATATTTAAATGCGAAAAACGAATTTATGTCCAAGAATTTAAAGCTCATGCCTAAAGAAAGTCCGAAATCTGTACTGAAAGAGGTAATCGATTTAAGTGAGGACGATGACAATCTGTTGAATGATATAATTTCAAAGAAAATAAACAAAGGAACTTTCAATGTGGGTAAAGACGGAGCTCTTTCAATATCAGTTCATCCGTTTTCAAAGGATGTTGCCTCGGTACGTGAAAATAAATTAAAAATGTATACTAACATTACTATCCTCGGTTTATAACTAACTTTTCGGTATAATATGTCACTAACATATTTTTAACAAAATTCGGTACTTAATCAGGCAAGGGAATAACGACTTAATAATGGTGAGGGATATGTACCATAATAACTTGCACAGTCTATAATAATAAAACACTGAAATAACTATATATTACATAGAGAAATTCGTAAGACTTGCTGACTCGGTATATAGCTCGTTAAGAGCGGTAGCCACGGTTAGGCAGCAGACGCTGGTTCGTGGCGATAATGGCGAGTCCATTCGAAAGAATTTTTCTTTGTGTTTGTGCAATCTTTGTAATATATAACAAACTATAGTTCATTTCACATAGCATGATTGCGGTGACGTTTGAGATTTGAAATTTCTAGAAATGTGATAATAAATTGGATGAAAAAAAAATGTGATACAGATAATTTGTAACGAAGAGGGAATCGATTTACGGATATAGTTTAAGAAAAAATAATAAACAAAATAAAAAGGATTCAATTATTATATTAATATGTTACTAAAAAACTTACATATCAACTCAAACAAAAAGTCAACAACAAGACATAAAATCAATATTTGAACGAAAGCTCAAAACAAAAAAAAAACGACCCGCATATTGCACATAACGCACTCATATTGCCGCGACATATACAATTACCGATTCGATTTATCGATTGTATGACGTAAATCTCTATGGATTTCGTTTTACGCATCAAGTAGCTGAGATAATTTATTTTTTTCTTTGTCATTTAATTTTCAATCTACTTAATATAATTTGCAATTTTTATTTAAAATTACAATTGTAGCAAATATTGTTTGTTTTTAGTATATTATAACAAATTTATTATTTTTGTCGTAACCTGGTTAAGAGATTAGTTAAAAATAGTATGCATGCGACGTAAAAATTTGAAACGTCACAGTATCCATTCTATGTGAAATGGACTGTAGTCGAGTATTTTCACAAAATATACGTGATTATAATGGTATTGAAAACATCATGATTTTCAATACAATAAGTACTAAAATAACTAGTTAGAGTTACTAATGTAATAATAATAATGTACTATGAAGTACTCTGTGCTATGAGTACAAGATTACTTTCACCCCTATAGAAAATTCATTAATATAGAAAAGTTCGTATCTCAAATTGGTTCTAAAGTATTCGAACCCAAATCCCATTTATTTGCCACACACACAAAAAAAACATAAAACATACAAATGAAAAATCTAACAATAAATACTAACTTTTACCGTTAGAACTATTCGATAAGCAAATATATCTCGGGCTAGTAATTGATAATAGGATGAAATGGATTCCCCATATCCAGGTTTATGTGATAAGCTAACGCGCAATTTTTCCAAAATTTTCAATAATTAAAAATAAAATTCCATTTCAAACAAGACTATTACTGTATAAAACACTTGGAGAATCTATCATAGGATACGGCTTAAGCAGCTGCTGGCGAACATAATAATATAAATCTCATCTTGACCATATATATGAATTACAAGTGAGAATCCTCAAAAAAATCGTACCACCAAAAATAAAAGAAAAATATAAGGAAAATTACACCGAATTCTTTTGCGTTTTGTAGAATACTACCGATACATGAAAAAGTAAAGTATACCCTATTAGTAGAACAATTCTTCAACACAGATTTACAGACACAAAAAATTAAGAAAAACCCAATCAGAAGTAATACACAACTGAGGCTCGCTTTACCCAAGTGTCAAAATCAATACGGTTATAACCAACTTATCTATTTCCTTGAAAACATAACCTAAAAGTAATTTGAAATTATTTTTGAGATAATTATATGTATCTATGCGAATATAATAAGTGTACTAATTATATTATATACTGATATATTATATATTAATTTGTATAATATATTAATATTAGGTTAGGTTTCTTTTTTACGAACTTGTTTAAAATGCTAAATAATACAATCAAAATACTTAAAGTAACATAATAGAAAAAGAAAATCCTATTTAATTTAGTAACCAGATTCATTCACACACACACACACATCGAGTCACATCCACATACTAACAAACAGTAAAATTGTCCTCGCATTCGCCCGCGCACCATCCTCAACACATCACACAATCTAAATATCTTTGCACACACACATACACCTTAAGGCCTCACACGTAAGGTCACCTCTGAGCAGAACGAGTCCAAAATTCTAGAGGTTTCTCTTTGTAAATATATTATTTGCATGTAACTTTTCTTCACAACAATGCATGTTATTTTACACGCGATTACGCTTATTTCTGTTGAAATGTTTATTCAATGAGATTTGATTTAATCTAATTATTCGAGTGGCGGCCAAATTCTAATTACTATTCTCGTTAAGTCAAGTCTAGCTTTTAGAACTATGGATTTTTTTCTGAACAAAATGGAAGCGAACTTTTGTGAGAAAATTTTACGTAGCAGAATTAACCTTATGTTATTTACGTAACGTGCAAATAGATACGGTAGCCGCGGAAATTCCCGAGACTTCGCGAATATTCTCTGGAAGATGCACTGTATCATGTCTGGCCCCTGTACTCTCGTTCTTCGTCCGAAACAAATACTGTCAAATAAGTAATACTCGACCAAATTAAAAAACGCACGCGGTGGTCACATGAACGAGATCGAATTTCATTTTTAAATGTAACATGTATTTCACGTGGAATAAATTTCATCTCGATATTACAATTATTCTGTTTTTTATTGAAATACAAAACTGTTATGTGCTTATTTAAAAACCCGATACATATTATCGTAATTGCAATAATAATCTCAGTGGTGGTAATCTCAATAATAATAATAAGACATTTATACATAAGCACATTTACAATAAAATAGTTAACGGTAAAGAGTTTCGGAAATGTGGACTCTAGTGCCAATGAAAAGGATGGAACAGCACTACTGCTGCTTTTCAGGTTCCACCTTCATACACGGATATCCGCTGCTGACAATTGTCAAACTTCACAAGAATTTCATTTTAAATTTAACATGCTTAAAATTAATATTTATTATTTCGATGAGCACACGAGTATATACAATATTACAAGTAAAAGAACATACAATGTATGATTACAATGATCAGTGGTTTCAAAAATATTGGCGAACTTGGACTACCGCTTTTTGGCTCGTATCAAATTTGTACGTTACACTAATTGACACAATGTTCATTATGCTATGGTGGTAAAACGAAGATTAGATTATATGAATAAAATTAGGTCCCCGCGGCAAAGTGCCCAAGATGGTGGCAGCGTTCCCCCTTTGCACGGTTGGCTAATGCGTTGGATAAGGTAGCTGCCCAAGTTTTTGGATAAAATTTTATACAGATGAAGGGCACTGGGACACATGGACCAAGGGTTTCGACTCCAAAGGCTGTAAATAGGTAGTCGGAGCCGAGGTCCTAGTACTTACTACTTTTGAGCCAGCTATGATTACGTTTACTTTGGTAGGACAATGTATGATTACAAAAAAAAATCAAATACAAAAAGTTGGGCCGTATTGTTTCTTTTTTTTTTATTATTTTCAAAAAGTAACTCGTATTTTTTCTCATTTGTTTCATGTGCCTGTTCTATTATTTTGCTTTCGATGTTGTTAAGGCTAAACGAAGGAAACAGGGAGAAATTGAAAAGCAGAAGATCGAGGATCAGGCTAAGAGACAACAGGTTTGTTGTGCTTTTTTATTTTGCTGCATTCTTACTTATTTTCAAAGATCAATAAAAAAAAAGTATTATATTATTTATATTGGATATATTGACCGACATTCCGTAAAAGCATTTGTAATAAAATGTTGAAGTGTGATTGCCCGAATGGACCATTGTACCTATGTCCTAAATTTTTATATTTCTGAAAGAGGCCTAGTTGGGTTAGGCAGTGACAGCATTGTTGCTACGACTATGACATACATGTTTTCCTTCATATTATTTTCTTCCATAGAATGTTAGGTGTTAACATTGTTTATAATAGTAATATACTAACTAATTCTTCCATTTCGACTCCAATAATTAACACTATGCTAACTAGCATCGCAATGCGAGCATTACTGTGTTTCGGTTTTGAAGGGTAAGGGTGCTGGTGAAATTACAGGCATATGGGACTTGTCAACTTATGTCGCAGGGTGACGGGCGCCTTGGCCCTCAGATCTTTGCGTTTTAAAGCTCTGAGTGGCACTGCAACTTTTATGGACAGGCGTGTAGCTTACCATCAGGCGCACGACTTGTTCGTCACGTCACTTGATATTGTAAAAATAAAATAACAACTCGAATTTTGTCTCGTCTGCCAAATTAGACCAAGATGCAAAATTATTCAGCTGCTTTGTATTAAATTCAAAATTAAAATGATCTCAGTATAAAGTACTAAAAAAACCGACCTCAAAAGAAATTAATTCCCTAGTTTGCCATTCCTTAAAGGTGGAATATTTTCTTAAAATTTTAATGATTATAATAGATAGATATAGAATAAATTTTTAATTCCAACAAACAAGAATCATCAAAATCGGTTCACATGTAATGTATGTTATCGCGTAACATACATTAAAAAAAATACAGTCGAAAAAAGGAGGAGGTTCTCACCTCCTCTTTTTTTTAACACTGTTAAAAATAACTTACAGTAAAAATAATTAATATAATTATATGTCAGACAATTAATTAAGAGTTTCCTTCAAGCTCTGATCAAAACTTGCAATTTTTTAGTAAGCATACTGTTCATTGCTATTATTTGATTGTCAAATCTGCATGTTTAAGAGCGGTTACACACGGCGGCTTTTAGCAGCGATGCAAACGCGATGCAAACACAATGCAGTAGCGATGCAGTTGCTAATTATGTACCTTTACTCACGCGAGTGATTTTAAGCAGCAGATTTTAAACACTTAGGATTTATAGGCGATTGCATCGATGCAATTGCGTGTTTGTATCGATGCAGCCGCGCCTTTGCATCGCTGCTAAATGTCGGCACACTAACCGCTCTAACGGCTGCTTGGCTAATAGGGTGACCACACCATACCGTTTATAACTGCAACTTTCCCTTAACACTAAGGCATTTATTATAAACAAGCTACTTATAATACAGGTTAGGGCAAAACGTACGCTTACGTTGGGGTAAAACTACAGAACTTGCTGTCTTTATTATTTTTATTCCATTCTGTACATCATACTGATCTGTCGATTGCACCAAGATCTCAGTAACTAGCAATTGACTAAAGTTTGTTTCAATTCGTTATACAAAAAAGTAAACAAACCGATTGATTAAAATTCTAAAGCAATCGCTCAATAATGGAATAAGTAACACTTATTTTAAAGAATTCACGTACTTAAAATTTTTATTGAATTTATATTCAATTATTTTTTGTGAAATTACTCCAATAGTTTGTTATAATTATTAATACAAAGATCGAACACTCAGAAAAAATTCCTTCGATCCGGCGGGAATTGAACCGACGTCTTCTAGTTTACCGTGGCAGAATTCACGTATATTTTGAAGACTTTTGCCAGCAATATTCATTTGAATAACATATTAAAATCGTAATTGAAAAATATTAGTTCAAAAACATGACTTGTTCAAGTTATTCTTCAAATGTATATTTATGAATGGTCTATGGTTGCATAGGGCTTTATGGAAGTAACTCGGTGAATTCAATTAAACTTTTTCTAATCGATTGAGCGAATAACTAAGTGTAAGGATTTGAAGGAGAATTTTAAATTAGATTTCGGAAATTTGAAATTTGCTTTTGTATTTTTTATAGTAATCTTATATAAAAAAAAATATATAAAACCCAGTTATTCCATCTGATTCAATGAAACAAATCGATTCATTCAATTTAAATAATTGATTTATGGTTGGTAGTACAGTTGGCCATCACTAAACTGTCTATGGTTGGGTCAATGATCTGTTTGTTTACTTTTCTGGTATAATAGATTGGAACAGACTATAATACTGTATAATGTAAGTTATTTAAACAGAGTTGTATACTCGAGTAAGTTACGTAACATTTCTAAACAACTTTAGTAATGCAGAAAATATTCCACCGTATTTTTTAATAAGGCGCTATTTTAATAATGCGAATAAGTTTAAACGAGTGTTCATTTTCTTTTGCTTCAGGAAAGAGAACTTAAACGACAGCAAGCTATTCTACTCAAAGAACAGGTGAGCATCTGAATTAATTAAGTAGAAATTATTTATTAAATGTTTAAATGGGAGTAGCTACACACTGACCTAATTGTTTACGTTGTTTAAATTTCTCGTTGCTTTATAATATTATTACGATTGGTGATAAATGCGATTAAATTGATTTGATGTATTAATCAATATATAATATGATGCTGATGGAGTGATCATCTAGTAGATCATCATAGATCATCTAACCAATGTATAAGATTTTATAATGCTCTATGTGAGTAACGAGCTTTGCGTAATAAAACTGAGAAATGCTAAAGTCACGTGTTACGCTCATTTCAGTGAATTCAAAACTTTAAAACACTCCCTGTAAACTTGGCAATTTCGACATACGCTACTTCACGTAGGAGGAGTCGAAATATGTGTGCCAATAGATGGCATTGTGTGTTACAAACTAATTTATAAATTAGCGCTTCCTAATTTGGGTAGATGGCCTAAATCCTAAACAAAATGAAAGAATAGCCAGAATAGCACTAAGCGCCATCTAGTTGTTTTGTTTGTTATCACTAGAAATTCGAGCTTTGATAAATTGCAGCTTATATTTGGTACTCGTCGCGACATAGATGTCGCGTGTACCAATAAGTACTAAATACCCAGCTCCTCTCCGTCCTCTGATAAGGTCCATACTGGTTATATACTCGATGGTCCATGATTATGGTATTATTCTAAGTTTAGTTAATTATACTTTGCCAATTTTTATCTCTGGATATTGCTCGTATCACAAATAGGTTGGTTTTATTGTATTGTTGTTGTAATTAATACAAAGATCGAAAAAACTCAAAGAAAAATTCCATTGATCCGGCTGAAGTTGAATCAGAGACATTTTTTTCGCCTAACGCGCCTAATCGCTCTCCCAATTGAGCTGCGGAACGAGTCAGCAGACCGAACGAATTTATCTTGCTGCAGGTCTTTGTTTTTCTTTGTGTTTGGTAATTAAATTCAAAATGGAATGGAAAAAACATTCATTATTATGTGTGTAATTGTAAATGAAACTATTTTTCTTTTTTTTTTTCAAACATCCAAATCGGTTCGTGGTCTTAGCAGGTCTTAGGGCCCGACTCTGAGTCAAAAATAGTTTCATTTTCAGTGTGTAGCAATATTGATTAACCTAAGAATTCGATGTGTGTGATTGTGTTTTATATATGTGTGTTTTGTTTTCCGCTTCCGGACGCTTCGTTACGACAGCAAAAGTACATAACTGAGGTTTGTGTTGTAACTAATAAAATTTCAAAATAAATAACGCTTTTTGCTTTTTGTGTTAATTAACTTATTTATTTGTAGAATACTAAAAACCCCGCAGGAATATATTACTGAAATCATAAACAACAACTTGTGCTCCATGACTTGGGCGCTGCTGAAGTGCGACCAAATTTACGTTACGCGATTAATTTTGATGAAGAAACATGATTGTTACTTATTTTGTTAAAACTGAAGAAGAAAATTAAAAAGAAAACGAGAACGTATTAGAATCCGTTCGTTACTTTTATTTTGTCAAAATAATTTTAGACAAATTTTCCCATGCTTTTTTTAACCAGTCGATTGGAATAACTAGCGCTGCTATCCCATATTGCAGGGTGTTGTTTTACATTCGCTATAAATTCTTCAATTCAATTTTCGTCCATCGTGGTTAATTTGAAAAATTAACATGTACACCTCACTCGCCGCAACCCCGCGCGGCTGCAGCGCTGCTGCAGCACGTCCAACAGCTAAGTAACAGTAAATTGATAGCCCTATACGGTGATATAACGGATCCTGATAGATGGCGCTAATCCTAAACAAAAGAAAAGAATAACCAGTATTATCCATAAAAATCTATGCAATAAGCGCCATCTAGTTGATTTATTTGTTATCACTAGGCAACCTCATTGCCATAGCTTTGATAAATTGCAACTTGTCACCGTATGTAAACGCTAAGAAATTCAACGTATCTGCTACAGAAAAGATGAGAATAGTCTTGTTCACTACAAGATCTATGTCAGATCTACGAAAACATATCGTGTCTGTTGCAGATGAGAAAATGATGAGTATGTACACGATACGAATGCTTTCGGGCAGACGTTTGCAGGGTAAAATGTGTCAGTGCATTACCAGTCTTCCAGGACTGTGGGAAGAAATATGTTGCTGTATAATATGTTGAGTACTAAGCAACATCCGTCCACGCGCATAAACGTTCGTTTACTGACAATGCACCTCACCCCGCTGCATACAATAGTGGCAGAGCGCGTCGTGTCGTAGGTAGACAATACTTTTTTCTTGTCCGGCACCGAGGCACTGTACACAGCTCGTGTGTAGAAACGACACTAATTTTTCCATAGACCCGGCCACTTTTCTTAACGTGGACACGAGCCCTACAAAAAATTTGTTACAAAAATAACTATTTGGTATTAAATATCCCACTATGCTTTCTTATATCGCGTTTAGCAGTCCTTTTGAAATATTTGTCCATGGTAATATAATCCTGCTAGTTTTTTACAAATAACTCTGTATATCTGTTTCGTGAAACGCTTGTCTTGATTATTTGGACTCGGCTTAAAAATAAGGTCAATTAACGTTATGGTTTTTTCTCAGGAACGCGAAAGAAGACGTCAGCACACGACCTTCATTCGGCAGCTGGATTCAAGAAGAAGATGGGAAGAGCGAGAGAGAAGAAAACATCAGAACTTGCTCGATCGACTTCTGGCTAAGGAGAAGAAACTGCGGTTGAGGAGGAAAGAAATGGAGCTGGTGTCTGAATTAAGGTAATACGACGCGGCAGCAGAAATAAAACTAATAAATTTTTATATAATGTAGTGAAATCACCCTCTAACCAATGTGTGTTGAAAACCAAAATATTACCTTATAAACTTTTTACTTATAATTTTTTACGAAGTAAAATGATATTTGCAGGGTTGCCATCTTTCATAAAATTTTAAATACTTAGTCATGTAGTTTTTGCTGACAGTTTTATCGACAAATTGTATAGGAAGGTAATGAATAACATTTTATTACATTTAACCAACTTCTACTGTCCTGATTTTTTCCTCTCATACAATGAAATCATCCTTATAAGAAACCGAGTCTATCAGCATTAAAAAAGAAATTAGTCAATTTTATTCATTTTGTATGAGAAACATTTTATGAAATTTGTCCTTACATAAAACTGAGCCGATCACCACTAAACAAAACTGCCATTAATGTAATTAATTTTTATGGACAACTCACGCTTGACTATAAAATTCACAGTTTCCCTGTATCTTCTGTGGTTTCGTATTTCCATCCATTTCATTTCATTCCATTAAAACAAAACACTTTGTATTATAATAATAGTAGACTACGCCATAGACGTGCCATCGGCTCTCCATAGAAGAACAGGATGTCACAAAATTGCAACGGTTGTTGAATACTAGCTCGATGGCTAGGCACTGACAAACCCCTACTCTTAACTATTAGCAGAATACCAACCGTAGAAAATCACAAAAAAATAAGATTATTTAAAAATAGCAAACTTCTGTCACAAGGTTCTATTAGAAAGTACATTTCACAAATTAGTCATATCGAAAATTGAATCCGACACCTTATTGTTTATCTGGTTACATTGCTAACGACTGAGCCACCGAGATAAATATTACTTCTTTTCCACAGACGACCCCAGGAAGACTCAACCTTATCCGACCAGAAGCCTCTACCGTCTCTGAATAGGATCCCAGGTTTAAAGCTGCCTGGACAAGCCATGGCGGACCTTCTGCAAGTCTACGAGTTTATTCATAACTTCGGACAAACTTTGGGTTTTGGTAAATGTCCTGACAGTTAAAATAAACCCTCCACGTTTCTGATCCTAAACGGACCTTGAAACGCAGCTTGACTAAACGGACCAACTCTTGGTATATGGACAGGCGTGACTCTTAACAACAGGCGCACGGCGTACATCCTGTCATTTGGTATCATAAAAAAATATGCTTGCTTCACATGTTCAGGTCTCTTTCCACTGGGTATTTTATTTATTCATTACAATTTCTGAAACCTGTCCCGTGTTCATGTTGTTTGTTCCCCTATTTTTGTATAACATACATAACCACACCAAATGCCTGGTCTCAAACTAGGGAATCCCCTGTACTATGACTACCTCAGAACATCATCAAATTGGCCTTACCGCGAATCGACCCTGAGACCTCGACATCCAACGCCCACAGTGCAAACAGCCGTCGGACTTTGGTTTCTTCTAAATTATTAAGTAAAGTTACAATTGTGTTTAGATGTCCTCGGTAGTCGCTTGGCTATTACAATAATTTTCATTCATCGCGAGCTTTGAGGTCCCGGGTTCGGTCCCCGACCGGGTTAATGCAGAAAAATAACTTGTCTATATTGCCTCGGGTCTGGTTGTTTGTGATACTATCGTTATTTCCTTCCATAACATAAGTGCTTTAGTTACTTACTTTGGGATCTGAGCAACGTCTGTAATTGTCTAAGTATTTAATCTATTTATATTATTTATTGTATTTACAGATGTAGAATCGATACCAACCCTGAACTCGTTACAAATGGCGTTGCTGCCGGACTGTTGCCCAAACGCTGAAGAAGAACTCATACAAGTCCTCACACAGCTGCTCGTGTGTGCTATAGGTAAGAGATTTTATTGCAGCCGTAATAACTTAGAAGAACAAAATAGCATGTATTGAATTTAAAATTTTATTATGAATCAATAACACAGGCACTCGTTTACCTAACCTTTTGACAGCCACTGACAAAAACTAGTTTCGTTCCCTAGACGCCAAGCCTTTATAGTGAAGTGAAATGTTATAAATTCCCACCTTATATTAATTCAATTCTCCTAAGTCAAAGAAGAACCTAATTGAACATAAATGCAACTATGAATCCGTACTTAACTAGGATACAAGTAACACAAGGAATATCTTAATATTTATTTATTAATTTCAATTACAAATTGATGGGTTTCATTGACACTTTAAAGCGTCGTTGGCGTATCAGCCAAGTTAATATAAGACGCTTTAAAGCGTCCACGGCGGTCAAAGGGTTAAATAAATTACACAAAAATCGATTAAAAACGTGAAATACAATGAGTTCAGTACTGAACTGGCATTGAATTATAAGAATAACAATCACACAATTAATCGGGTAGGCTCGCAGACATGTATAAATGAAATATTGGAATTCTTTCCGGAAAATATTCCGAAAAATTGGAAAAACATAATTCGAATGCTCATGTTATGTTCTACCTTTAGATATATCTTTTAAAAATTTATTTAACATAAAATTGTTTAGTCAAAAGCAAGTTACAGTAAAACGAGATTTAAAATAATTGGCCACGAGCGAAAACGACTATGTATAGGTCCCCGGGTTTCGGCACTAAATGTATATTTCTAAATAAAAGCAATATTTTTAGCATGCAGAACTTATTTAATATATTTAATTTTTATGAAAACGTGCAAAGCCAATATGTCGTGAAAAGAAGAGAATGAAGAGAGAGGGAGCGAGTGAATGTACATAGAATGATTGGTTCGTGAACGAACACGTAGACAAAAAAGCCTTTATATTGGCTACATTGTTTTCGTTCAGTATTGTATGTCAACTTTTAAAGGGTGTCATTTGTCATAATGTGGAAATAGAAACAATATTCGGAAAAACATAAATTTTTCAAAATAGGAACTTTTCCATGACCCAACACTGCAACTGTCACATCAGATGTTGCCAGTTCTGTATTGACTACATTGAAGCGTATTCCTTCATGTTTCACCAGACTTGTCGATAGATCGCGTTGTAATTAATTAATAGGCAATCATAGTTTCACCATCATCCATTAGATGATGCTGCTGGGACTATGATGCGACAAATACAATATTCTAGCTCATGAATTCGAACTTTACTTAAATATGTGCAATTTTGACTGTACAATCTGTTTTTGCTAACAGAGGACCCAGGCATTCCTCATCCAGGCCGCCACACGACACTCCTCGGGCATGCGATCCGTATGGGCGACATCACACCTGCAAACCTCAGCGAGGTGTTACGAATATACCTCTACGCTAACGCGACGGGAGAGGTCAAGGCTCTGACAGGTACGTTGTGGTTAAATTGTGCTCATTTTCATTAAAAAAAATCCCATATTGCTTCGTTTCTTTTTGTGTGACCATAAACCCCTGATCAAATCCCGTATTTCGTGCAGAATGTGTTATTGCTTATATCACTAGGTGTTGTCAGCATTGTTATAATGTAGATTGTAAATCATGTAAATTAAATATGTGATTTTATTTTAATTGTTATAAAGTTTGTTAATGGTACTACAATGATTTCACTGTGCGAAGTCGTATTGTCTGTTATTTCCCTGTACTTAAAACGCAAGATGCACTCTCACTCTCGCCTTGAAAAGGTCCAAGTTACAGCGTTCGGGGTTTTCCCCGAACGTCTGCAGGCAGGGAATACCACTCCCTAGCCGTTCGCCATATAAATGTGAAAGCGAAACGCTTCGTGTGAATCCGGGGAATATCCACAACATAGGGGTTGAACCTCCAGCCCACGTCTACTCCGGATGATGGAAAGGGGGTTATTGAATAAACGTGACTAACAATTCAATCGATAGGCGATAGAGTATTTGTCGACTGCAATCAGTAGCTGCGCAAGCGGGCAACAGTTTTATGAACTGTCCTTTTAATCTGTCTTCAAAAAAAACAGGCTATAGTGTTTTTATGTATTGTTTTTCTGTTGGAGCACACATATTCAATAATGATAAATGCCATAAATAAATAAAGAGATAAATAAAATATGGATGAACCTATCTGTTAAAATTAAATTAACTAACGATATTGTGTAAATATCGAGTTGTTAGGTTTTCGCGTTTATTTTTTCAAGCAAACCAACGTTTCGGGCCCTTTACAGGTCCCATGGTCACGACTGACTCAGAACATGACTGATTCTTCAACCGTAACCATGGGACATGTAAAGGGCCCGAACCGTTGGTTTATTTGAAAAAAATAAACAACATTACGCGATTTAAATCCGGAAAAATAGTTTCTCTTCCGATATTGTGTAATTTACCTTATATTTACACTGTATAGGTTGATAGGTGCTCGGTGCATTGTGCTCGGTCGGTTACATTCAAACTTTCGAAATTTGTTGTTACCTAAAATTGAAATTAGTGTGATGTTTTATAATACATATAACAATGTACAACATTTTCTTTCACTAGGCCTGGCCTTTTCGAGGGCTACAGGTACGAAAATATCACTATCTCGCTGTCACCCTTACGGACATATACATAAGGCCTAATTTCTTATCCTTTTAAAGGCATGTTTAGTAAATTTACCAATTTACTTCTGTTATTAGGATCGCCCATCGAGTATATAACAGAAATAGAGATGAAATAAGGACCGTCCATCCCTGGCAACTCATCAGGCAAACGGGCCTTATATCACTTTTAAATATAAAATCCTTTGCGCTGAAATCACAAATCAGAAAACTGAAATAGTACAGCGCCAACAACTGACTGTGTGTACGTCCCTGTGTAATTCTAAAAATTTTCTGTATTTATTGTAATAAAGATAATATTTCTAACAATGGGGGGCTGTTCCATTCGGTAGTGTAGGAAAAACAGCAAAACATCTAATGACAAAACAAACTGAATCATTTCATCGGTAATGAAATATGTAATTTTGCAATTTTCGGCCATTATAGCAAAGCTCATGTTAAACTGGTCGATTTGAAGTGAAACAATTGGCGACACCCATCAATTGTTTCGAATTCGGCCTGGCCTATCGGAACGCAGTTGTCACAGTAATGATTTGGCAGAATAGTTTTCAAACAAATTAAATGGCATTTCGTCTCTATTTCTATATCCCTATCCCTATCCCTATAATCGCTTAGAAACTGTAGGTGCCCCAAAATAAATATTCTTATATAGTTATTTGTATTTATGGACTAAATATGCCCTTAAAACGACGTCAATTAATAAATTAGGACCGTATATAAATATATCTTTCTACCCGCAGGCTTAACGGCTGAGAGGGAAAGAGAAAGAAGAGTAGCAGATCACCACCAGACTGACGAAGAAATGAAGCACACACAGGCGAATACCAAAAACGCGGCATATTATGAACACTTACATAAAAATACTACGTATAAATTGTCAGGTGAGTTGAGATATTATCATCATCGGGTAAAAATAAAAGAAATGAAGGCAAAAATCAAAGAAAAGAAATAAAAATCTAAAGCCAGACATATACCACCCACACTTCAGTAATTTCCATTGATTTTTAAATAAATTTTTGACCTCGTAATTGCTTCAAAATTATTCACAAAATTTAATTCTATAAACGCTTTTAAAGATTTTGTCTCTTCTTAAAAAGGTGTATACATATAATGACTTGTTTCATTATAAAACTAAACTGTTATCACTATGACTCGAATGACTTTGATCAGTTTTGTAGAAACGAAAGTCAATCATTATTATTTATTTCGTCGCTCCTCTGTATGATATCCTCCCACCTAAAATCCCCGTCCCGTTAATATCAACTTCCTACTAAGGTTAGTCCACTCTCCCTTTGTGCATGTGCTGTGCAAACATATTATATATATAGTCTGTGTAGGTGTTTTGTAGATTCACCTCTTAGGGTCGTATTCCAGAACTCTACTCAATACTCAAGTCAGGACTTGAGTATTGCAGTGAGCACTGAAAATCATACTCAAGTCCTTGCCATTAGGGTCGTATTTCCAGTGCTTGAAATCATACTCAAGTCTGCTCAAATCCTGACTTGAGCATTGAGTACAGTTCTGGAATACGACTCTTAGTGAATTCTGTCGAAATTCACTGGTCAATTTTTGAGTAAACACGCGTGTGTTGCTCAACTTGACATTGGCGAAATCAGCGATTACTTCGATTGGGCCATAACATTTAAAATAACAAGTAGTATTTATTTATTAATTAAAGGACATAAATTAAAAATTAAAAATATTTGTCTCAAATGCTATCCTCGGAAAGCCAGAAAATTATTAAAAAATGGCTTGACTTACAAAATTAAAATTTTCTTTAGAAAATCTTTTCCGTGACCGAAAACCACAAATTAGAATGAAGAAAATTAAATGATTGAAGAAAAATTAAAATCTAAGTTTAAACGCCTTAGCCTGCCCAGAAGGACCAAAAAGTATAGTAATAAAGAACGTACGCACAAATTAGTCTTATTTGTACCATTATTTTAAAAAGTTGTATAAATTATTTATAGTCCTTAGTGCATATTTTCATCTGTGACAATCGTCACTTACCATTAGGTGCGATTGTGAATGAATGATTCTTTTTTGCACATTCAAATTACAATGACAACTACTACTGTACAACAGGCGGCCTCATTGCTAAGTAGCCATTTCTTCCAGGCAACCTTAGGATAGAAATTTAAGAGTTGGGAAGGGGGTTGCAACCAAACAATATCTTGTAACTAAAAATGTTTCATAAAATACACTACTCATCAATAAAGTAAATATATACATAAGTAATAATAATAAATAAAGTAATAATATTAAAATGTATACATAAATATTAATATATAATATTAACGTTACTTATATACATACATTTGTGGGACAATAAAATAAATTACCAAAGGAAATAAAGTGAAGGGATTGAAGAGAAAAAACCATTCTTAAGTAATTAAAGAAATGTTCCTTAACGTGTCGTTTGATGGAATTCAGCGAAGGGGATCGTCTTTTTAAAGATTGTGGTTCTGGAAGATTGTGGTTGCCTCTTAGCGGATGGCTGGTTGCCTATATAAAAAAATAACAAAAAAAAATTTTGTTTTCTAGAATCTCTCCGAGACAAACCGTTCCTAGCACTAAGCGCAACATCAAAAACTAAAATCCTCACGTTCCTCTGCAACGAGTTGCTACAGAATAAATCCGTCTTGCGACAGATCGACGGGTCACTGGAACACTTGAATCAGTTGCGAAAGGAACGGTATCTGATGGATTGCAAGATTAGAAAGTAAGTACAATCCTTTTTAATACTATTTGTTAGTTTTCATTTCCGTACACGTAGCCGAACTTACCTAATTTAATAGTATATTGATACAGACTGGACAGAAACTCCTAAAATACCCCGTTGTCGGAACACCTCCATCCTGGGTATGATCTACCTTTGCAAACTTGGAAGTCCTTAAATAGGCTGCGGACTCAAGTCGGCCGAAGCAAGAAGTGCATGCTCGGGTGGGGTTACAGCTCGGAGAGCGCATGTCTGTGTGGGGTCTCTCTCGAGACAATAGCACATCAGATCTTTTGTCCTGCCCAGCGTGTCCCTACACCTGCACACGCGAGGACAAGTACAATGCCACTGGTAATGCTGTATCAATCACTAAGTACTGGTCCTCAAAAATATTAACAACACGCCAAGAAGAAAATTGCTGAAGGAATCCCTGAAAGGTTTTCGAGACTTTATGGACGATTTTCTTCCGTCTGGTTCTATCTTTAGCGTCTCTCAGGGCAGTTGTTATAGGGAATCCAGTGGAGGCGGTCACTTGGTCACTCCGTGATCGACCGTGGTGCCTCTTTCCCTCCACCTTACCCACCGCAACCACTTTGTCAAGGTCGTCTGGTTGTCGGCAAGCAACATGACCAAAATCCTTCAGGATTCTCTGGTAGCATATTGTGGAAAGTCTATCTGTGATACTGAGTGGTATAAGTATGGATTGTTTGTCCTTCTAGCGGTTCACGGTATACGGAGCATAGTCAAAGCACGTAATACTCAAAAAATTACTTCCAAAACTGAGATTCTGAACCTGCTCGGGTTTTAACCGGGTTTTTACCCATTTCTGCCTAAAACCGTAGGCGGAAACGGCGAATACGGAATTTGATATAATTCCACACTTATTATAAATTTCGTTATAAAAAATATTTTAGACGAAAAAGAGTCCACTCCACGCTATCTCTACCTTACAATGCTGTGAACTTTCACCTCTGAGGATGCAAATTATGATCCGATTTTTGTGGAAATCGATTCAAGTGCATGCTATCTAACGATTTTTTGTATCAATTTAATGGAATGTTTTGAACAAATTCAATAGAATGGCAAATTGAATCGTCAAGAAGCAAGTGTGTCTCTCGCTCTATATGCGATCGGAAACGGACGCGCTGCACTACTTTGCGAGAATTATTTTAATTCGCGATTTTGCGCGGCTTAGGCTGCTGCATGTACGTAAGTGACAATGGGTTCCCAACAACTCATTGTCAATGAGTTTCTGGCATTCGTGCAGAATGCCATCGACACAATGGATGAAGTCAGCATCGATCAGATCTGCAAATCTAATTTCAACGAAGATGAGATTTGCAGTGGCAAGATGCTGCTGTTCCAGAGCTGCGGCAAAGCGCAGCAGATGCCATCTCGTCGGAGGGATGGAGGCTTGAAGAGTGTCCAGGATGTTACTGCATTCTTGAAGAATACCGATCCGGACGACGTGCCTACTTTCGTGGCGAAGGAGCTGCACAAGTTGCCTCCGGTCACCTTTGACCACGTCGACGTCACCAGGCTGTTAAAGGACATCACGTCCTTGAAGTCGAGTTTGGCTGAAGTTCAGTCGAAATTGGAGGCGTCGGATAACTCCATAAGTGAGCTACGTGCCGAAGTTGCGTTGTTACGCAACCCCGCTTCGGTATGTAGGTCACCGACAGTCTCCTACGTCAACACGCGTCGCGGGGCGCGAAAAGCATCCGTCGGCAGTATTGAGTCGGCTCGTATGTCGCCGGTCATTGCTGTTGTCAATGTACCGTGCCCCCCTGCCCGCCCCTCCGCCTCGGAGGTTACGTCACCCGTATGCAAGTCATCGCCCGGGCGTGCATACGCCGCTGTTGCCGCGACTATTAGCAGCGGAACCGCGACTTCAAAACCCGAGTTGCGGAAAACTGCAAAGGGCGGTAGTAAACCCCGAATGCCTGTCTCTGGAATCGCAGGTGCCAAATCTCAGAGGCAGACCGACAGGTGCGGCGAGGACGGCTTCACAAAGGTGGAGAAGAGAAGACAGAAACCCACCAGCCGAAATCTATGTGGCACAGCTCCAACGGGACAGAACTTCTTGCTTCGTGCGGCCATACCGACGACGCAGTTGTACCTGTCTCGACTGCATTACTCCATGAAGTCTGAGGATATAGTGGAGTATATCCGGTTGAAAGCCCAATTCACCCTGAGGGTTGAACGTTTGGAGTCTCGCCACAACGTTAACTTTAATTCGTTTGTGGTGAGGGTCCCAACGGCCCATCTGTCGACCTTCATCCAGGTAGAGTTTTGGCCGAAGGGTGTCATGTTCCGGCGGTTCAGAGGAACGTTACATGACACTTGTTTGCGTCGCACGTCGCCGAATAGTAATTCGTGTAAATAGTTAATAAGTTTATATTATTTTATATGTATGTTAGTTTGTAAGGTATGTATCAATAATAATAATATGTATGTTAGTCTGTAAGGTATTTGTTATATGGGCCTTAGTTGCCTGAAATAAAATACATAAAAAAAAAATAAAAAAAAAAAATATATACATTTTGTAATAATATCATTAAAAGCTCGATTTGAAACCAAATATTCAGTTGTGAATAGTTTTTGCCCTCGATCCCGATAATAAATGGATTTTAACCTGATTTAACGTTATGTTTAACGTTTAACGTTATGGTAACGCCGGGTTAAATCCCGGGCGAATGTCTATCTCAGTCGCCGAACCAATTTTCGACTTAACGACTCTAAATTTTCGATGTGTCCCATCTTTTTTCCTTTAGACGTAACTTCATCGTGTAGTATTTTGTAGCAGCTGAGCTCATAAGCTATAATTTCACCAGCAAAAATACTTATAAGTACTTGATTTCACACTTAATAATAAATATAACTTGTTATGTCAGAGTCCGAGTGCTGCACCAACGCAAGGTTCGCGCCGAGCAATCGGAGAAGCAGCAAGCGTTGGCGCTGGAAAGAATGCAGAAACTGGTTGAAGAAAGCACTGCCCATGAACGCCGAGGCTCGCCGCAATTGCCTGAAGAAGGTTAGTTTCAATCACCCTTATGATTTAATTATTTATTTTACATAACTCTACGCTTTTACAGTTTCCAACGTACATAGATTAGAAATACAAAAAAAGAGAATTAAAAATACAGGTTGAAAATTACAAAAACATATCACTCATGAACAATATGATATTATGCAATTGTTGCATAATTTAGGTTAGGTGAGGATATGACCTCCTTACATCGTTATCCCACCTTTTTGTCATCTTTTCTCTGGTTCCTGGCCACTTGTTTTCAAATTTTGAATCGTTCTTTAATTCCTTATTCCTTTGCCTTGCGGTAGCGAGCAGTTCGACTGTAATTCTTAATTGCGTCTAATTTTGATCCTTTTACCAAATCTCAACCAAAATCATGTGCCAATTTTAATGTTAATACCAATCTGTAATTCTACATAACTCGGCCCTTTTAGGGTAAGTGTCTACTTTATATTCATCCATAAGCATATACGTATGTAATTAAGTTAAGGAGTCTTTTATAATATCGTACCTGTGTTTTTATATGCCTTTTCTTGTTACAGCCTTTCTTTCTTTTATTTTCCTTCACACTATCAATAAATTTTTGTGGACCGAAGCATCCTATTTTATTGCCATGATCATGATCACATTGGTGGTTTACAACATTTTCAGTTCTTAAAGTCGAGTGCCGTGTTTATACCGTGTTTGCCGAGTGGCCTAATAATAGGTTTTAACACCTAAGTAATGATTACATGCAATACTTTTTCTACGAGTAAATAAAATAATTAAACACAAAATATTTAATGTATATTTTGTTAACAGTCCATGACAACAAACTCAATATTTTTTTAATAAATTTCCACCCATTTATTTGGGTGCCGAACAAACGCTACTAAACAAAAAACCAAAGAGATGGAATAGAAGTGGTCAAGTACCGCTTACATTTAAAGCAATATTTTTTTTTATTGAAGGTTTATGGCGCGCTTGCTATAGGCCAATTTAACCAATCAGGAAGTAGTAAAACGTTTAAATTAGGACACTACCACCAAGGGCAAAACAAAAATCGCTAACATAATTCACAGCATAGAATCACAATAATAATAATTATTAATACAAAGATCGAACACTTAGATAACATTCCTTCGATCCAACTGGATTCGAACCGACGTCTTCTAGCAAACCGTGTCAGACGCTATGCCAACTAAGCCACGTAACGAACCAGCGGACCTCACGATTTTTTCTATGTGCTTGTTTTTGGATCTTCGTATTTGGTTTTTCAACGACTTTTTAGTCGTACCGCCATCTATGAAAAATCTGTGAAAGTATTTCGTCTCACGCGTTCGATTTTTGTATTAATAACATTGACTTACAAATAAATGGACGACGGGTCTAAT